AATGCAGTGGAGAAGGGGATATTGATGGATGTGGGGCATCTCTGAACACTGCCGATCCACTGACATGCAGGTACACGGGGATGAGGTGAAGTACTGCAGTACGGCAAGGTACTGCACAGTGGTAGACAGGGTCAGGGAGAATAAACAGGGATCCCGGGGTACTTGTATTTGAAAACTTTACCACAGAAGTGGCGGCGGGTGCCTGTACCCGGGGAAAACACACACATATACTTACATACATACATACATACACACATACATACGCACAGCGGAAGGCGATTGCACCATCAACCGGGCCACGATACCAGAGCCACACAAAACAAGGGCTATGAACTGTCCAAAACAAGGGCCCCCCTCCAAAACCCCCCCGGAGCCCCCTCCCACTTGTGTGTATGTGTACGGAACTTAGGGTTTCTCTGTTCGGAGGAAGGACCCGCATGATGGTGGAGAGACCTGTCGTACGATGGAGCCTCAGGTAGTATTTGCCCAGGTAATCCCATTCCCCGCCGCAAACTCCCCTACCTCACCGCCGTACCGCCGTACCCACCTTGCCCTCCACGAGCCCCGTCAGCGGCAAGTAGTCGAACAAGTCGGTGAAGGCTTTCCAAACCTCCGCCGACCCGTACTTCCGAAGGCACTCATCGTAAAAGCCGTACCTGCAATGGTGGCGTACACACAGCACGGTGAAGACGAGACTGGTTTGAAGCAAGTTTCGCCTGGGCCGTGCGGTCCGGGATGTGGCGCATGGACCAGCAGCGCATCGGGTGTCAGGCAAAATTTTGCGTAGTGAATCACGCTGCTTGTTGTGCTTACACTTGTGTGATTTGTCGGCTCTCGTGGTTTCCTCTCAAAATAGTAATCCTGTCTCGGAAGCGCACTTTCAAGGCAACCAACAACGACACCGTCTCCACGCTGTGGTAGCCTGCAAAGCATGGAGTCGAAGCATGCAGAATCAAAGAATCCATTTTGCGTAAAGGTTTGCATTTTGCATTTTGCCGTTTGGGAGCTGTCACAACCCCAGCGATAGATGCCAACCGAGTCCTACCGCGATCGACGTAGTCGCCCATGAAGAGGTAGTTCTGCGCACAACAAGCACAAAGTTATGTACAACCTGGCACTCAACGGAGAACGCATAAAGGAGCAGGTGCAGCGAGCCATTTGCGCGGCTGACTCTTACCGTGTTAGGGCTATCACCCCCGATGCGAAAAAGTTCTACCAGGTCATTGAATTGGCCATGGATGTCCCCGCCTGCGGACGATGCGTGAGGCGTGGGCTCACATGCGGCGCGGACTACGATCGACTAAGCATACCGACAACTGAACAGCCAAAGAATTAACGTACAAAGAAATGCAAGAAACGTGCATGGCCACGGGGTAACACATTAATGACAGGGGTTGCGGGCTTTCGCGCGCGGCCGAGGCCATCCCAGACCCCCGGACTTACAGACCGTAACAGGGCAGCGCACTGGTTGCACATTTGATTCCTCCGCCAAAATCTCCTTCGCCTTCTCGCACAGAGCCTTCACATCAGCCTCTGGAAGCGGCTCGCACTTGAGCAATTTTTGTATATGGCTATCAAGGTCTCCAAATGGGTTTTCGGGCGGGCCCGTGGCCATGGCGCAACCTCCTAAAGGGCCCCCAGGGCCAGCTGGGAGCGGTAGGTTATGCGCGTATGGCAACTTGCAAACAAACGGTTCAACTTTTGTATATCACACTGAGCCACACTTGTGACGGCTGTTCATATTTCTGTTTTATGAGATGCAAATGGTTGATCATCCGATCAAGCTTCTTACCGGGTTACTTTCCTGGTTTTCCAGAGGCGCACGGGAAGTCGTACTCTGTGGAGCGGCTTGAGCTTTAAGCGTGTTGTGTTGTTAATTTTGCTCAAGTTTATCAGGTGTTGTGCCATTTTCGCATGTAAAAGCCTAGCGGGATGCAAAGGGTGGGGCGAATAGCCTTCAATCTTTTCACATAGCACCAAGATTTAGCCCGCGTTTGCCACGCAAGTATCTGCAAACTCTGTTGCACCAATTGCGCTGGAAACTGGCAAGAACTTCCTTGCATTTCTGCAAGTCCCTCAGCTCGGTGTTGCCAACGGCGGCTCATCTTGAAGATGTTCAGGCGGACCTCTGACCTTTCCCACTGTGAGTCTTTTTTATGCCGCATGATATGCACATTCAGGTCATTTCGCCGTCCTTCTTGTTGAGTAATGCGTCCCATGCCTTGCCTTGTACACAGGAACAAGCAAAATCACATGAAAAGCTGCGCCACCCAAATCGCTAGCAGCCATACAACTACTCCGCAACGCCCCGCAGCCCCATCCTCGACAGTGCCTGGCCCCTGGCGGGTGGTATCGGCGGGCTGGCCGCAATTGCCTGGGCCCCCGACACCACCTCATCCTACATCACACCGGCATTGTTATCATCATCACCATCCCCTTGGTGCAAACGCATCCGCAAACCCCTCGTCCCATAAGCCCGACATCGTATCCCCGGCCGTCTCCGCGTCTTCTTGGCTAGCGCCCTTGGTTTTATCAAAGCCGTCCTGGCCGCTTAAAACCGAATGTGCCGTACCCAAGCGGCGAGCGGCGGCTGCCGCCGCCGCCAACCCCGACCTCGCGGCCAGAAGCGACTCCATCTCCGCATTCCTAGCTCCGGAACCCAACGAGGAAGACCTCCTTGTTCAAATGCAACACCTCAATCATGAGCGCTTGGAGGACGAGCGTACGGCAGCTGACGCGCCGCTCTTCCAGCGCCGTCACCATCTACAGCAACACCACGAGCAGCAGCAGCATCAACACCAAAGGGAAGAGGTCGACGGCGGCGGGAGTGGCGGGCCGCAGCCTACCGCCGCTGATGCGTCGCGGCCGCCGGGCCGGGCGAACCAACACGGCGGCGAAGGTGCTGTCGCTACTGCCACTGCCGTCGACGCGGCCGCCAGCAGCAGCTGTAGCAGCGGCGGCGGCAGCCTCCATGAGGACAGTAGCGGCAGGATACAGCGCGATGAGGACTATGTATTGCGCCCGCAGATTATTAGCCAACATCAACAGCTGCCGCTGCAGCAGCAGCAGCGGCAGGAGGAAGAAGAGGAGGCGGGGCCGGGGCCGGGTAGCTCGTCCAGGGCAGCCTCTCTCCCCCGTCCCTTACCCGCCAGGCCACCACCCGCTGGTGCTGCTAAGACTGCTGCTAATACTACTGCCACCAGCAGCAGTAGGAACATCGCAGGTGGCAGTAGCAGTATTATTAGCATTATCAACAATAGTAGCAGCAGTAGCAACAGTGGTAGCATCCCTAGCAGGTCAAGGATGCTGCTACTGCCGCAGCCGCAATCTCGATCGCTGCACTCGCATCAGGTTGACAAAACGAGAGACGCGGACCGACAGACGGCGGGACAGATTCGCAGTAGCAGCATCACAGGTAGAGGTGGCAGTAGCAGTAGCAGCGCGGTGTCGAAGCACCAGACGGAACCGTTATCACCGCCAGCTTACAAAACATCAGCGCCGCCGCCGCTTTTCTCTGACGATGACCCATGGGTCGCAGCAGCGTACGGCGACCTGCCAGTGACAGTTACGGGGCGCGCGCCGCCGCCGCCGCTGCTGTCGTACAATGACTTGTTGACCCACGGGCCTTCTTCCTCCCCACCACCTTCTTATAGAAACGCCCGGAAAATGCCCAAGGCGTTGCTCCGAAACGCGGCGGCGGCGTTTCGCCTGGGCCGGCCCACCCCCATTCAGAGTCACGTGATACCTGCCATGATGGAAGGTTAGTTGGTTGGTCGGTTATGTCGTTGGTTGGTTGGGATTTGGGTCTATGCCCTTCACCTATGATACCCTAAGTGGTTCCTTTGGCCCCCAAACCCCCCGGGCCCCCCACCCCATACACACTCACACGGCAGTGGTCCGTGTTACCCCCCCTCCCCCCTCCCCCCGCCCAAACCGCACCCACGAGTATCTTCCTGCCTGCCTGCCCTTCCCCGGGCGGACCCCTTCCCCTTCCCCGGCTTTGTACGTCATTACAGCAGTTGACTCTATTTGATTCTTCCATTACCATCATTATCACCGTATGGTTTTCCTCCTTCCCCAAAACTTATTTTCAGCCTCCCTTTTTCATTACCTTTTTCATTGTGCAACCTCCCCCCCCCCCCGAACCCCCAAACACCCCCGGGGAGCGGGGTAAAACACAGGTCGTGACGTGCTGGCGGTCTCCTGCCCCGGCAGCGGCAAGACCCTGGCCTACCTGCTCCCTGTGCTGGCCGCCCTGATGACCCGCAACAGAGTGCAGGGCTCCAAGAACTGCGCCTCCCCGGAGGCCCTGGTGCTGGTGCCCACTAGGGAACTGGCGGAACAGGTAGGTGTGTGTGTATGTATGTATGTATGTATGTGTTTGTATTATGTATATTTTTTACAACTCCCTCAGTCATTGTATGCCAATGGCTGTATGTGTTTGTATTATGTAAGTATATATGCTTGTTTTGTATGTATGTATGCATGTATGAATGTGCGTTTGGGGAAAAGAATGGGTGAGGCGATTGAGGGGTTTGGAACATCTAGGATTGAGGGAGGGGGGTCGGGGGCGGGTGGGGGGGAAGAAGGTGGGGGTGGCCATTTTCTAGATAGGTGGGGGGGGAGAGAACACAAAGGGGACTCTTACAGGGCGAGCTCGCTGCTACTGCCGTTCGACTTCAGGCGACTTCGCAAGCTGTGAAGTAATCTGTTCGTCTGTCTGTCCGTTTGTCGGCGGGCATCCCGTCTTTCCCTGCGTCCTACAGCATGTGCACGACACCCTTCCTTCCTCCCGCCGTGGTTGAGAGCATATGGATTGCAACTGGCCGACGGATACCCTCACGAATGTACGAATGTACGACTGCTCTGTCGTACGCCACGCAGGTGTTTTCTGACGTACAGTTATTGCTCCGTGGCACTCACCTCAAGGCCCTGGCGGTTCACGGTGGGGTATCCCTGGCGGATCAGGTGCTCGCCATCCGGGGCAGGTGAGGGCGTATATGTATGTACGTAGGTATGCATGTATATATGTGTGTGTGTGCGTTTAGTTGGAAGTGTGTTTTGTATGTCGGGGGAAATGGGCGTGGGAAGTGCGGGGAAGACCACTTGCTTCCAGGTGTATAGTACAAGTACGGGGTAAAACCCTAAATAGTGGGACGGGTGGGGGCGTGTGTTTGAGAGTGTGTAGGGGGGGTGGAACCCTGAGTGGGGGCACACATATGGACATACATACATGCAGACCTTTACCTCTTCCTGATCACTTCGTTTCCTAATTTCAGGATGATTTCCCAACGACCCTAACGACCCCAACGACCTTTCCCGGCTCTCAGATATCGTCGCAGCGCGGGCGGTGTGGATCTGCTGGTTGCAACTCCCGGTCGGTTACTTCAGTTGGTGGAGCAACGGCGGGCTGTACGGCTCAACCGTCTGGGTGTGTTGGTGGTTGATGAGGCGGACCGGCTCATGGACTTGGGCATGTGGCCGGATCTGCGGCGACTGGTGAGTGGATGGATGAAGCCGCATGCTGCATGTCTGTGTATGTGCGTGTGTGCGTGCTTGTTTTCTGTATCCGGGGCTGGCGGGGGGAAGAGCCACTTGTTGTGGAATTATTACCCAGGCTCTGTTATTATTATTGAGTGTACGGCGAAAACACACAAGAACGTGCCACCGCCCCCCCTCCCGGGGTTTCGGTGGTTACCCCCCCTCCCCTCTGCCGCAGCAGTCTTTCCTTGGCATCACCTTAACTCGCTCGTTGTTCATCTTTTCCCCCTCCCCTACCAACGGTATTCCCTTTTTGTTTACCCCGCGGCCCCGCCCTTTCCCCCCCCCCGAAAACGACTCCCTCGTTTCCCCAATCGACTCCCCATCCCACAAAACACACACACACACGCACTTTCCAGCTGTCCCAGCCCGGTCTCCCAACTGCCCGCCAAACCGCCCTGGTGGCGGCCTCTCAGCTCCGGGAGCACACCCCCCTGGCGGAGGCGGCGTCGGAGCTGCTGCGAGATGCGTTAACGATAGCAGTTGGCGACGGCAGCGGAACCAGCGGCGTTGTACGACAGCACGTGGAGCTGGTTTCGGACGAGCAGAAGCTTGGGCGCCTGCTGGAGTTGCTGGCTCCCGGGGCGTCTTCTGGTGTCGTATCAAACACTTCTTTTCGCTCTTCTTCCCCTTCTACTACTACCAATAGTACGACAAGTAGTACGACAGTACGAGCGCAACGTGGTGTCGTATCCGCCACTGGTTCTCCCGCCGCCGCTACTGCCGTTCGCCCTACTCCAAAAACCACGTCTATCAACAGCAGTACTCCGGGCCCGCAGCCAGCTAGCCTGAAATTGGATCTCAGTTCCAATAGTTTCGGTTGTCGTACACTTCCGTCGTACACTCCGAGTGCGGGGGGCCCCGCCGTGGTGTTCACTCGCAGCCTGACTCGAGCTGAGGAGGTGGCGAGGTACCTGTCGGGGCGGGGTATTAGCGTGGCGATGTTGCACAGCGATCTGACCCAGGCCCAACGAGATGAGGCGATGCAATGTTTTCGTTTCGGTGTGACATCTGTCTTGGTGGCCACAGCTCTCGCGTCGCGGGGGCTCAATTTTCCGGATGTCGACCTGGTGGTGAATTACGACGTGCCGGCGTCGGTGAGTTGGGTTTCGGAGCTGGGGGGGAGGGGGAAGGGGTAGGAGGGAGGGAGGGAGGAGAGAGCATGTGTTTTCCGGCACGGTATGCATGCACGGTATCCTCCTCGGTGATTATAGTAGTATTGCCTTATTAAGACACTCTGTAACGGTGTGACATCGGTTTTGACATCCGCGTCTTTCTTCTTCCGGTATGAATGAACTGCGCGTCGTCGCCCGCGTTTATGTTTTGTTTGAAAGTACCGTACAAACTCCCCTCCGTCCTCTAGCCTGCGGTTTCAAATTTCCCCCCCCCCGCCTTTCTTGGGTCTCACTTTTGATTCCCTACCTCTTTTCCCGTTGACCGCCCCGTCCCCTCAGTTGAGTGTGTATTTGCACCAGGTTGGTCGTACAGGCCGGGGGGGGCGACCGGGTGCCGCCACTACGCTCGTCACTCTCTCCAACAGGCCCTCCGCGCCGTGGCTTCTGGACTGCCTGCGGCGCTCCGGGAGCCCCGTGCCCGTGTGGTTGGAGGAGATGGCGGCGGCAGCCAGGGCGAAGGTGGCGGAGATTAGGGCCGCGGCGGCGGCGGCGGCGGCGGAGCCTGGCGGCTCCGCCGCCCGGGTTCGCCGGCGTCGTACGGGAGTGATGGCGCTGGACGACCCGGCGGCTGGCGCCGCCGTCAGGTTTGGGAGTTACATGGCCCCGCGGGTGGCTGCGCAAGCTGTGGTACGGCAACGCGGCGATGGAGCGGGCTCTGCTGCTGCCGCCGCTGCTGCTACTGCCGACGGCTCTTCCTTACCGCCGCTACAGCCCGTGGTTGTGGACCGCCGCCACGACGCCAGCTACTGGCAGACGGTGTTTGAATCGGCGCTACAGCCGCCGCGCACGACGGCGGTGGCTACAGCCGCCAGGTCGCCCGCTGCAGCTACTGCCGCAGCCACGGCGGCGGACGATGACGACTCACACCATCATCACCGCCACAGCAGCGACCAGCAGATTGGTAATGCACATGTGGGCCCTGGCTCGGAGGTCTCAGCCCGGGCCCAGGTAGTTTCCGCACCGCATGACGGCAGTAGCGGCGGCGGTAGCACTATGAAGCGGCGGCAGCTGGGGCGGTTGCTATTTCGAGACGGGACGGCGGAGCTGGAGGCGCATCCGGGGGGTGGTCTTAGTGCGGGCCCTCCAGGGGTGGGTCGCGCTCGCCGGGAAACAGAGTGAAGAAAAAAGATAGAAAAGATAGAAAAAGATGCTTTGGGGAAGATTGAGAAGGATCAGGGGTGGGGGAAAGGGAAGGGGGAGGGGAGGGCTCTTGAATCTGGATCTGGATCTGGGTTTGGAGTTTGAATTGGAAGGAGGAGGCGGCCGAGGGGGCTGTTTTGGGTTTAGAGTTGGGCATCCTTGTTACGGTGCCCTTGCGGCTCGGGGTGCTGACAGCCATCGTCATGTCAAGGGCGGTAGGGGGAAAATGTGATTTGGCGGGGGATTTGAATGTGGTGAGGAGTGAACGACCCCGTTGCAGGTGGTCGAGGAGCAGGTAAGGGCCGTGCCGTACAGTTGCAGTCCTGATTAGTGCGTGGGATGGGGAGGGTGGGATGGGGTGTGAGTTAGCGAAGTGGTAGTTTGTTCTCTGTACTGTCGTAGAGCGGTCATACGGGGTAGGCTGGTTACAGCATGGGCTGGTTCTAGCATATTAGGCTGGTTAATGTGTGGTTGGTTTACTTCGTTGTCTGAAGAGTGGTCGTTAAGCAGCCCCTCGCACAAATGTGTCCGGTCGTACTTCGCGAGAAAACAGTTCGTACATCGTCCCAAAAAAGTCAGGAGCGAATTTTGCCGCGCAGATGCGCGCGTGCGATTCGCAAAATGCGCCTGTACAAGTGTATATAAATTTCTTGGAGGTGCGCCAGCGCATTGCGCAGGTGGTCTTGCTGGCCATAGTCGCACGCGGCATGCAGGCTGGACTATTGCGTGGCTGCTTTGCAGTAACTGAAAGCACCGAAAGCCAACGTCGTAGCTTGCAACACTGGGCTCGTGAAACTGCCGCGGGAAGATGAAGCGTTCGGCGAAGAAGCAGTTGTGTGCAAGCCATAAGGCGCCTGCTTTCGGTAGCGCAGCGCATAATGCACATTGTTCCGACTAAACTCAAGTTACACTCTTACGAAATAAATAATAAGAAACGCAGAATTAGGTAAAGATAAGAATCGCGAAAGCCGTTCAGAACCTTGCAAGTAAAATGGATGCCGCTGAGGGCTTGGAACAGCTTTTCGCAGCGCATTCGGCCGTGCCTGCGTTAGCCGTGTTGCAGCAACTACGGAAGGACTTGAGCCAGCAGCAAGCTCAAAAGCTGCTGAAGAACCACCGGGATTATCTTCAGATGGGAACATGTAGTTTTGGTCGGCGCGGTCGAGCAGCGTACGCATTGCGCACAGGTACCGAGGTGCAGTGTCTCTTTGACATCGCCAACATATCTGGTACGCGGTGGCTGGCTTGCCGCGAAATGAAGGGGGGGTCGCATCTCACCATTCAACTAAGCATGCATGTGCGAGTTTACCCCTATCAGGATGTTTGTTTGCATATCCCTCCACGTGAAAGGGCTTGAACCTATGCTGATGTTCGTTCCAAGAAGTGAACTGAGGACTGATGCTATGGTGAAAGGTATGCACGTAAATTCGCCCGTGCGCCAAATGCCCTGTAACTCGCTTACGCTAATCTCACATTCCAATATGCCACTGGACTTTCCTCTCCAGCCTGGCCACATTCTCTTCCTCGCAAACGTACTTGGGCACGTTACAATCCAACACCATACGTGCCTTGGAAACGCGGGCAGCTGCTTCACAAGGACCCCCCTTCAGCGCTGGCGAAGAGGCAGTTGTATGCAGCACCTTGTTCAGAGTAAAGTCAAATTACAAAGTTGCGCAAAGTATAACATACATAAACTTAATTAAACATAAGAACAGATAAGACGTTTATAGTGTTGTCGGTGACATGGACGCCGCTGTTGGCTTGGAACAGCTATTTGCTGTGCATAGGGACGTGCCCGCGTTAGCCGTGTTGCAACAGCTCATGATGGATTTCAGCCAGCAACAGCCTCAAGAGCTGCTGCACAACCACCGGGAATGTCTTCAGTTGGGCACGTGTAGTTTTGGTCGGCGGGGTCGAGCAACGTACGCCATGCGTACAGAAACCAAGGTGCAGCGTTCTGTAACATCGCCAACATATCCGGTACGCGGTGGCAGGCTTGCCGAGCACGAAATGAAGGGGGGGTCGCATCTCACCATTCAACTAAGCATGCATGTGCTCGGTTGAATGCTCGGTAGCGTGCGAGTTTACCCCTATCAGGATGTTCGTTTGCATATCCCTCCAAGCGAGAGGGCTTGCACCTATGCTGATGTTCGTTCCAAGAAGTGAACTGAGGACTGATGCTACGGTGAAAGATTTGCACGAAAATTCGCCCGTGCAATAAAACGCCCTGTAACTCGCTTACGCTAATCTCACATTCCAATATGCCACTGCACTTTCCTCTCCAGCCTGGCCACATTCTCTTCCTCGCAAACGTACTTGGGCACCTTACAATCCAACACCATACGTGCTTTGGAAACGCGGGCAGCTGCTTCACAAGGACCCCCCTATTTGAAACGGTGTGTTTAGGTGCAGCGTACAACGGTTGGCGCCGTGCGGTACAATTTTTATGACAGGGCTGAGACTGGTAAGATTTGGTAGTTTCTGCAGCCGAGGTCCGTACTTTGGGTAAGCTCGCCTTATCAAATAATTCGGTCTCTGGTCACTTGACGGCTAGCGCATGTTTTTATACTTCCGCTGTAAAAGAACGTTTCTTTGACAAGTCGTGAGTTCTGGTATACTGTAGTGCATTTCTGAATGAACTAGGTTCTTGAAAGCTTGGATAGTTATACAAGCGTTCGTCCAGGCTTGCGCACTGCTTACTCATGCGGAGAACATTTTGCCCTTCGTCAAGCTCTCCACTTCAAGCCAGCCGAAGTCAGCTTTTTGGAACGACCTTATCCCAAAGGATCGTCGATACACAGCTACTTCAGCGTCTACCTCAACACCGTCCTCCGCAATCGGACAGAACCCGCATCGGGACTCTTCAAAAATGGAGCTTGGCGCTCCAAATCAGGCGATCTGCAAATGCAAGAAAGAACGATCAAGGAGCCAGCGAGCTTCCTCTCGATGATTCCGAATTATCGCATGAGGAACCGAAACTGAACAAAGATAGCATCAACTCGGATACCATCATCGACGATGATGTCCGAAACAGCAGATCTGAAGCCGCCTCCAGTAGCCCATCCGCCGGACGGTCCAAGTCCATCCCCGGCGAGCACCGCCAGCGGACTCTCCTGCGCGGCTCCTCCTACTTTCTGCACACCAGTAATGACTCTATGCCGCGGACCGGCCTCCCTGGAGATTTTCGTGTTGATGGGGAGGGGGAGGGCGGGAAGCGTGCGGTGAAGCATCAGAGCACCTCGGAGGCTGCTGTGGCCCGAGCTCGGCGCCATGCCAGCCTGGCTGCTGCATTGGTGCAGGTAGGAACGGGCTGGTCCGCGTTCACTATGTTTGCGTCTTTTTGTTTTTCGCGGGAGGAGAAAGAAAGGCAATGGCGATAAGTATTACATGTACGGGAAGAACGTACGGATTTTTTTCTTTGACTTCGTAGTCCTTCGTTACTAGTTCACTGTACTGCAGCACGTATATGATGGGGGTATATCTTACTGTGGAAGGTTTTGCAAATATCTATCTGACCTTGTCCTGACACTGGCCAGGGGCTGCTGCCCGGAAAGACCTCCTAAGCAGCCGAGAGCCGCGATGCTGCAGCCGGCCGAATGAACTTATTTCGCCCCCAACCCGAAGTCCCCCTCCCTGATCCATATCCACATCCACATGGGGGTCCACCGAGAGGTAGTGAACCGAAGTGATGCTATCAAGATAGGGTAGGGTAGTAAGGGACCCGAGGCGGAGATGAAACACAGCCGCGGCAGCTCCAACAACAACAACATCTTCCAACAACATCTTCGCCTCCTTCACCTTCCATCCGACGCCCCCCCGGATATCTAACCCCCCTCTCTCACACACACTCATCTCACGCACTTACGTGGGGTTTCTCCCGCTGCCCCTCTCACCCCCCCCACGTGCCTGTGCCGCCTCGTCCTCGTATACCCTGCCCCCCCGCCCGTATACCCCCTCCCCCTCCCCCCACTATACACACACACAGTTCGTGTCCAAGCTGCCCGCCCCTTCCCCGGGCTCTCCGGCAGAGGCCCTGAGGTCCAAATTAGGCTCCCGACTGGGGCCGGGGGCGCTGGGGGAGTGGGTCAGTCAGGTGGCGGGGGAGATGAGTATGGCGGCAGTAGCAGCAGCAGGGGAGGAGGGGGCAGCAGTAGCAGCGCGGCAAACAACAGCTCCCGGGGACCTAGCAGCTGTAGCAGGGATGTCACCGGAAGCGGGACCAACAGCTGTAGCAGGGGAAGCTGTTGCTGCTGCTGCTACAGGCGGTCTCCCGGCGCCGCCGCCACCACCGGGGGCAAAGGCGGAGGGGGAGGCGGAGGGGGAAGGTGTGGGGCCGGAGGTGCCGGCAGCAGAGTACGACATGACGATGACGGTGGGTGATGTGGAGGTGCTTGTGGAGCGCATGGTGTTCTCACAGCCGCAGCTCTTGGCGCACGACTCCAGGGTGGGTTGGGGGTTGGGGGGTTGGGGATTGGGGGGTTGGGGATTGGGGGGGGTCATCCCCGGAAGGGAATTGTGGTTGGGAAGGGAGGTTGGGGCGCTGCAGGATGTGTGTGTTTAAGCTGAGTGGAGAGGTGTTGTGGAGGGGAGTGGAGCCCCGTCCTTTTAAACACCGTTAAAGCTGCTGTTGCCACCGCTGTGCTGCTGCTACTGCTATATTCCTGTTGGCTGGTGCTGCTACACCACCAGCGGGCTGGTCGTGTTCTCACTCTGTCTTCCCGCCGTGTCCTCTCACTCTGCCCCCCTAGCCGGGTAGGGAGGGGGCCCCTCCAGGAACCTCGCGGACGTCATCATCGTCCTTCTTCTCCGCCTTAGGCCCGTTCCCCTCCTCCGCCACTGCCCCACCCGCTCTCCCTCCCGTCCCTTCCTCGTCCCCCTTTCCCGACCCCCGAATCCCTCCCCCATAGACACGTCGTCAGTTCTCTCTTCTCTCTTCTCTCTTCTCTCTTCTCTCTTCTCTCTTCTCTCTTCTCTCTTCTCTCTTCTCTCTTCTCTCTTTTCTCTTTTCTCTTTTCTCTTCTCTCTTCTCTCTTCTCTCTTCTCTCTTCTCTCTTCTCTCTTCTCTCTTCTCTCTTCTCTCTTCTCTCTTCTCTCTTCTCTCTTCGACTTAAGTATATGATCCCCACCCCCCTCCGCCCTGTTTTACTACTTTTCCGCCGCCTTCACACCTACTTTTCTACACCTACTTTTTTACGGCTTGCAAATACTATTTTTTTCTGCTTTTTTAGTCCTGGCGCCTTAGGTAGGTAGTCTTTCCGACATCTTCTTCACTTCGTCATCCCGAGGTCGCGGTCTTCACGGACGCCTTTCGGTCAGTTCTACGTTTCATACACTCTTGCCCTGGCAGCAGCTTCAATCATGTGTGGTTCGTCTTTCCCCCTCCGCCCCGTCCCGCTCCCTTACCCTACCTTACCTTACCGGCGCTCCCCCCACCACACACGTCCCACATCCCCACCAGGTCCTAGCTGCTCGCCTCCGCTGCCTCGCCTCCCTGCTACACCTCACATCCCTCAGCCAGATCTTCGCACTGGTGGCTCAGAGGCCCGGACTGCTGCTGCTGGACCGGCCCACTCTGGAGCGCAGACTGAGGGGGCTGGCGACTGCGATGGGTGTAGGGGGGGATCTGGAGGCGGCGGCAGCGCTGGCACGGCGGCAGCCGGCGTGGCTGTACGCCGAGCCCTTGGAGCCGTTGTAGGGGCCGATGGGGGAGAGGAAGAAGGGGTTGCAGGCCTAGGGAATGAGGGGCCAGGAGGATGGATGGACAGACAGACAGACGAACAGACAACCGGGACTTTAACGGCCGGGACCTCAACGGTTTTTTTATGCCCACGGCCATGCTCATGGTGTGTTGTCATACTTGTGCGTGGTATGATAAAACGGAAAATGAAATACCTGGCTGATAAATAGATGACGTTATCGCGGAGCGAATTTTCTGTATTAAAGACTTTAGAGTTCGCTGCATATCATGCGCAGCACCGCACCGCACGTCACATGTTCCGACACAATTTTATCAACCTACTTATCAATTTCTAAAACGGTACTTTTTGCATAGCGCCTTGCCTGTTCTACTGTGATTATTCTTAATTCTACTGGGTTGCGTTTCAAGGACGTCGAACACAATTTGTGGTCAGCTTCCTGGAGAAGCTGTTTTGCTGTTGCACATTTGGCATACGTATTATTTCAATGGTGTGTGAAAGAATGACATTACAGGCGCCATTGGCTGCGCCGGGTCGAGTCAAGTGGACAAAGACCGGCCGCCATTCCTTTGGCTTGCAGCGACTGGACTGGCATGTTCTGCACCAGGCAAGGAATTAGTATCCTTGTCACCAATTCTCAGACATGTCCGTTATATAAGCTCTGAACTAAACATACCAGCAAAAAGCTTTAGACCATGCGAGGTGCTCGAATTTTTAACCAATGGATTGCTTCCATTCCCAACAGACGCGAGCACCGCTTATAGTTTGTATGGGCCGCAACGATGGAGCGTCCGGCAGTAAGCGACGGAACAGCAATCGGAACCGCCGCAAGGAGGACTTCTCCGGTCCTGCTGCAGATGACGGCCTTTGGTTTGACGCCGAAGCCGACCCAGATGGAAACCTAACCTCCTCTGCCACCACCACCAGCAGCAATAGTAGCAGTAGGAGCGGACCTGCTGCTGCACGCCAATTTCAGCCGCAGCCATCCAGCTCCGGCTGGGAGCGCGCCGGCAGCCTCAGCGCGCGGCAGGGCGGTCGCCAAGGTCGTGGGCGCCAAGCCAAGGGGAGGGATGACGAGGAGGAAGAGGAGGAGGAGGATGTTAGGGGCTGGTGGGAGCGGCCTGAGGAGCGATCCCTCCAGGTGCTGGGGAGGGGGGAGGGGGAGGGGGAATTACATGGGATGCTGGTCATCATGCACGCACGAATGTGTATGTGACTGTTTGCGGCCGGGTCCCCTGGGAGGGGGAAGACGGGGGTTACGGGGGCGAGGGGGGGCGAGGGGGGGGAGAGGTGGAAGTTGCACTGGCGGCGGAGAGAGGGAGGAAGGGGTTTTTACTTTGGATTCGGACTTAAGGGAGTTCAAGAGGACGGAGGCTGTTGGAGGTGGAGGTGGAGGTTGACTAAAACCGGGTTACAGCGGGGACGTGTGGCGATGGTGGGTCCAGGCGTCTCGTGTGGGGTTTAGGGGGTTCTATCAGGCTGGGGTGGGCGGCGCGCCGGCTTTCAGGCGGTTTGTGCGAGCGTGTGTTTGCGTGTGTGTGTATGTACGGCGGGTTGGCAGTTCGCGGTGCTAAGTAACCTTGCTCCCCCGTTTGTGTTTCTTCTTTCCACGTTCTCCACACACACACATACACACACACACACACACACTCTTACCTCCCCTTCCTTGTCCTCCAAAACACTCCTTACCTGTTCGCGGCTTTGAACCTCTACGGCAACTTCATACATCAGTCGACACTTGGCTTCCTTCTTGACTTACCACCGGGTATTTCCCCCCCTCAACCCCTCCAGGCCTACGCGGCCCCCTCCCTGGAGCCCTGGCAAGAGGAGAGGTTGCTGAGGGCGTACGCGGCGGGGAGGAGGAAGGCACCGGTGAGGATGTATGTATGTATGTATGTGCGTGTGGGGGGGGCCCGCCCGGTAGGGTGTGGGTGCCTGCGGGTGGTGGTGGGGATTACTGGGGTGGTGGGTTACCTCTGCTTCTTGCAGATGGGGGGATGTGTCTGTTTGTCTGTCTGTCTAGCGCTCTGTTCTATCTCGTATGCAGTGGTGATGATGACGCTGAGATGAGAGTAATGGTATTGGTAGGATCATTTTGCAGCACTATGTGGCGTTAGCCCCGATCCTCCAAGCGTGTGTGTATGTATGTATGTATGTATGTATGTATGTACGTGCGTATGAGCCTGAAACAGAGGAGGTGAATCCGAAAAACTAAACCCATCCACCCACCCCACTCCGTTACGGGTCTCCTGCTTTTTGCATCATTATGGTTTCCTCTCCCCCCGCCCCCCTCTCACACCCCCCCCCTCACACACACACCCTCACACCCCCTCACACACACCCCCCTCACACCCCCTCACACCCCCCCCCTCACACCCCCTCACACACCCCCTCTCACATCCCGGCAGATTCAGGACCTGTCTCGCGAGCTGGGTGTGGACAGGTCCGTGGTCATTGGCTGGTTGAAGGAGTTCGCCCTCAAGCCCAGCAGGTAGGGTGGGGGGACAGAGGGGGGGGGACAGAGGGGGGGAGGGACAACAGCTTTTGTTTTCTCAGCTTCTCCCCCTAGGATCCCCCTATTGTACCCAAATTTCACCCACACCTCACTTTTTTATTTACCCGGTGATTCCGAGACCTCCCTCCCACTCCCCACCCCCCCGCCCCCAACCCTGTCTCCGTCGCTCAGTGAGCGGGAGGCCCTTCTGTCCGCTCTGAGGGGCTCCGAAACGGGAGGAAGAGAGGTGGGGGCAGCGGTACGACAACGAGAGGGCGCCAGCAGTAGCAGTAGCAGTAGCAGCAGGCACCAACAGGGGCAGGGAGCCGCGGCGGCAGCAGCAGCAGCAGCAGGAGGAGGCGGAGGAGGAGGCGGCCGGGAGGGAGAGGAAGCGGCGCCGTCTTCGGGTTTCATCCCGTACTACCGTAAGTGCTGGGAGAGAAAAAGGGGAGAGGGGAGAAGGAGAGGACTGGAGAGGTGGGGGCCGATGCGTGGCGTGTGTGTGTATGCGTGTGTGTGTCGGGTTGCGGTGATAACCCCTCTTCTTTTCCCGCACCCCCCCGGGGGACTGACCAACCCCGGCCCTCAATCCTCCGACCGGCCGTTCTCCTGTCCTCCTGCTCAATTATTAACCAAGAAGTAGGAGGAAATTGCACGTTTGCATGTGTACGGAAAGTACGGGATGTACGGGATGGGTACTCTACTGTTAACCCCGGGTTGGCCTCCCCCTTAACTCCCCCTCAACCCCCCGCCCTTCATCCCCAAAGTCCGGAAGCAGCAGCAGCAGCAGGGCGGTGACAAGCCAAGGAAGCTGAAGGGGGAGGTGCTGAGGACATTGGAGGCAATATACGACAGAACGCCCTTCCCGTCTGCGGATGTCGTACGGTAGGAAGGGGGATGAGGGGAAAGGCATGCCAGCTCACCTCGCGCACGTACATACACACACACACGTTCTCCCCGCTAACCCCACCGCGCTCTCCTCCTCCCTTTGGGTTGCTCCAGACGCGGCACGGCGCACTAGACCGGCTTTAGTCCATCTTGCATCGTCGTACAGTTACCCTCTCCGTCCGCTTCCTAGCCCCCCTCCTTCACGCCCTGTCAAACCCCGTCAACCCCTCCCTCCCCGCCGCCGCTCCCGCCGTCAGTGGTTTGTACGAGCTGCACCGGTTGCCCCGCGACGCCGCCACCGAGTGGTTCGCCGCGCGTAGGGCCCAGGACGGCATCAGCTCGTCCACTGAGAAGAGGTCCGGGCGTGTCAGTCTGCGGGAAAAGGACCGGGACCTGCAGGTGGGGGAAGGGGGGAGGGGGGGGAGGTGGGAGGAGGGGGGGACAAAGATGGGGGGAAAGAGGGGAGTAAACAAAAGGGAGGGGGGGAGGGGAGTTTGGTGCTGGTTGACAGGGCGGAGGTTTCCCGTGGGGGGGCGCCCGGACCTGTGTGTCTCGTGGATGTATGTAGTAAGGGGGCTCAAAGATGGCGGTGCACGTGTACGTGTACGACAACGGACAGCATGACTAAAGGAAGGCTGGCAGTAGTCCAATAGTAAAGTAAAGTTACGGCAGTTGGTCGGGACCGCGTGTTTGTGTGTTTCGTTACTTTCGTTGGGTTTCCCTTTCCCCCCCCCAAATGCCGTGGGGATCATTATGTGTATTAAAAAAAGAGGGCGCGTTTTTTGTGTGTTTCGTGATTTGTACCTCAGGGCGCGTTCACCGGTGGCGGAGAGGATGAGGGTGATGGTTCCATCCACACGCTGCGGGCTGGCGGCCCGATCTCTACCGCCGCCTCCTCGTCCCGCACCTCGTCCTCGAGCAGTGGCGGCAGTAGCAGTTTGCTGGCGGAGCTGGGCGGGTCAGGGCCGCCGCCGCCGCAGCAGCAGCCGGCGGATCCCACGGTGCGAGAGCGAGCGAGAGATGGGGGGGGAAGGGAAGGGGACTCGGGCTCGGGGGGAAGAGGGAGGGGCTGGGGGGAAAGAGGGAGGAGAGGGATTTACAGTATCGAAGGAAAGGATGGGGAAAAAGGGAGTGTGCCTTGCCCTGGCAGCAGCTTCACTCGTTGGTGGTTCGTTTTTCCCCTCCCCTCCCCCACCTCCGCCTCTTCACCTCCACTCCCTTCCCCCCCTCTCCCTCCCTCCCTCCCTCACTCCCTCACTCCCTGCCCCCCTGCCCCCCCACACACACATACATACACACACAGGTCGTCACCCTCAGCCGCCAGGAGATGGCCGCCCTCAGGTCCTCCCTGCCCAGTCCCACCAAACACAAGGGCCGGCAGCGGGCGGAGGAGTGGGGGATCAAGACGGGTGGGTGGCCGGGGGGGCGGCATGCGGGTTGTGTGTGTGTGTGTGTGTGTGTGTGTGTGTGTTTGGGGCTCTGTGTGGGCCCTCGGTGCCTTCACAGGCTGCGGGGAGCACCGTGTGGGGAGTGTGTATGCGCTTGCGCTTTCCACCCGCCTCCCGCATGCTTTAATGATGATGTAAATCGGGGGAGATTGGGAGTACACCGTACGGAAAGGTCGTACACATGGTGACGGTGGGAATCCTGGATTCCGGTGTTTTGCCTTCTCCTGAATCAAGTCCCGCTTTCCCCCCCCCCCCCACCGCCCTGTGGTTCCCCGGCTGCCCATTGCACATAATACATACATACATGCATACATACAGGTCCCGGCGCGGCCGCCACCCAGATCGGCAATGTACAGTACGTGGAGGAGGTTCCTGCCGTACCAGCCGCCGAGCGAGTACGGGCTTCTTGGCGGTATCGCGCCTCGACGAGCACGTCGAGCGGTGGAAGTGGTGGGGGTGGGGGTGGGGGCGGCGGTGGTGAGTGGTCGTCATCAGCAGGGGCAGCGGCTGTAGCGGGGTCCCGGCGGCTGCGACTGCGGGGTCGTACGGCTGCTGCTGCTGCGGTGGCGGCTACTGCTGTGGGAGGTGGAGCAGGAGGTGGAGCTGCTGGTCGGAATCCCGGTGGCGCTGGAGTGTCAAGAGGCAGCCGTGGTGGGGGTGGGGGTGCGGGGGAGGACGGGGAGGAGTGAGGGGAGATTGAGGTTGGAGTTGAGTGAGTGGTGGTGGTAGTGGTGGTGATGGCCATGGTAATAGTGATGGTGATCGTGGTTTTTTTGGTGGTGGTTATTGGCGACGTGATAAGACATGACGATATGACATGTGGGTTTCAATGCGGAGTGCTTTGAAGAGGTTGAGGGGGGGGAGAGACGGGAGAGGCGCGAGGAGGGTATTGTTGGTTCGTGGGGAGTAGCGTTTGAAGACTCCTCAGGCCACTAGGGGGGTGTTGAGGGGCCTTGTGGCGGCGGAAGGAGTCCAGCTCCTGGAGTCTTAAGGGGGGGGAAAAGGGTTAGGTGTGTGTGTGTGTGTGTGTGTTTTGGGGAGGGGAGAGAGGTGTATACAGCCCCAAGGCCCCTGCGGCGGCGGCGGTCCTGCCTTTCTTCTGTCCATGCCTGTCTCGCCAGCAGACAATCCCTGATATTCCTGATATCTAAGCGCCCCGGTTCCTATTGCGTGGGGTCCCTCTCCCCCCCCACCCACACAACCCCACCTCCACCTCCACACACACACGTACACACACGTACACACACACACACACACACATATACACACACAGAGGAGGTGTTCGTCAAGCTGGAGGCGCTTCGGTGCTCGGTGTCTTGTTGGCACCCATCACGTGGTTTCATCCATCACATCAACTCGTTGTTTTTTGACCTATCCTGTATTATGTTTGTATGTATGTATGTCCTTTTGTCGGCATATATCACTAGCCTGACAGGGCCTGCACAGGGGGCTTCCGCCGCTGCGTCCGGCCCCACTTTCTCCATTTGGTCGCTCACCTCGGCCCCTGGCTGCCAAAGGGGGGGAGGGGGGGGGGAGGGGACCAGGGGGTCGAGGAGCAAGCTCGCCATTGCCGCCCTTGCCGGCGGCATTGTCCGCATGCTGTGGATGCTGATGTAGATGCTGATGCAGGACTGTGGCACAGTCATGGCCATATAGTTTAGACACCCACGCACCCGGTAATGTATGTAGGGGGGTGGGCCCAAGGCCCAGTCCCGCCAACAAGGTCACCGCACCGGGGCCCCATCGCCCATGTAAAGCAAATCGATAGCCGGATAGACATCCGGAACGGTTTCGGAGCCGCCTAGCACCCCTAGCTTGTGCGGGGTGCGTCCTGAGCGGGGAGTCACCGCGGGGGGCTTCAACAGATATCCGTCAGAAAGGGAATAACATTCTTCTCCGAAAGGGAAAATCCCCGCGGGATGGAGGATGGAGTATGCATTCCCTTCCTCTGCAAGCACCTTTTAGTTTCACTGTGCTAAGTAACACGCTTGTCATGTTTGCTGCTATCCCAGCGACGGAAAGCAGAGCGACGGATGGATTTTTAATACGCAAAGCTGCTGCTGAGCCTTCCCTTCTGAGTTGAAGCCACTCGACCTGTGTCTGGGTGCGGCGGTCTGAATTGAGACTTTGGAGGTTGCAGAGCGACCTGGTGGCAAGGGGGAACCATTATTCCAACACCCTGTTCATAGTTTGATGCAAATACCCAAGAAAGGTACTTCACGGCATATATCCAGGCGCTTCTCTCCCCCTTCGAGGAAATGGCCTCGATCGATCGATTAATCCGCCAGGAGCCGCAGCGAAGTATGTCCAAGCAATGAACAGCGGCAAAACCAGGTGTAGGACCTAGGGACCTAGGGAAGGTGTTGATACGAGGACTTTATATATTTTTTCTATATCTTGCTGTGAAAGGCGCACGTGCGCGAGAGCGAGGTGCATAGGATGTGTACATTGCTGCTACCAGTTGAGGGACCGTAAATAACGCAGTCAGACACGCGATCACAAGAGGCCCTCACACGAGTTGAGCCTCCACGATAAACAGACAAATCTACAAACAAGGGTAAGTTAATCACTCACTAGCTCTCACATTTGAAAATACTTCGAACAAGAAAGGATCGATACGCAAGTACGACACCTCAACATGCGCAAAAGAGCCTTTCATCCCACTTCGCCAACTGAACAACTTACTAAGGGAATGTACGACCCGGTAGTCCAATAGGTTTCCCCTTTCGGAATCGACGCGACTATTACACCAAAACTAACTACGCATGGACACGTTCACAGAGATGTCAACTAAAGGAAAGATGGTAACTTGGACGTGATACTAAAGTGGTGTTGACAAGCCAAGAGGCAAGAAGGCTTCTGATATGGCAGCAGTGGAAAATTTAGAGGTCTGCTGAACGATTGGAAACTGCAGGAACGGGAGTTCAACGCTTTAACCTCGGAAGACAACATAATGATCAATTTACAGAAACGCATCTGCAAGGAACTTGAGCGATCAATGAAGTAATGTCACCCACAAGAATCGCGGCTGCCTGTCTGTGCTGCCTGTTCTTTTATTTTATTGTGTGCGGGGTCTTGCTCTGGGTGCATCAGATGGTGGGTTGAGGGCGGATCGGGTATGTCTCTTGTGTCTCGTTGCTGCGGACGAAAATAAATACACCAAGTATTTAAGGAGTGCCCTGCCTTCGACGCTGTTCGACACGACCTACAGCACTTACAGCTGGGATCATGTCGGCTATCTCCACGTTGGGTCACCAGGGTTTGCTTGCCGAAGCGACTCATGCGCTGCGTCGCTTGCAAAAAATTGACATCATTATATAATATGATGTCACCTGCGTACCGTCCGTAGATGTTTATCTTCACCATCGTAAATCTGTTTAGCATTTTGTGTTGTAAACGTTTTTCCACGTGTGGTCCCAATTGGATACATTTGCTGACGATTTTTAAGTTCCCATGGGGCTCCGTTGATGTTTAAGCTGGCTGGAACCAGCCAATTTCGAATTGCCTATTTTGCCGCCTTTTTGTACGTTAAAGCTGTGGCTCCGACCTCTTGGTCCGACGGCGGGCGGGGCGCTGTCAGGCCGCCTCAGGCGGAAGTCCATACTTGCAGAAGTATAATGGGCGGGGGTCGTAGCAAAGGCTACGACTGGGACACAGGTCTCTGGCTCGTGAAGCCCATCAACGATTGGAAGCATATGGGTCAACGGTCCGCCATTCCGGGTTCGGCCGTGCCATTTCGGAACTGGCTGTACGAGCCTTAGGACGTGTTCACATGTGGGCGAATCAGGGTTGATTCATGCGAATTGGACTCTGAATTGGACCTGATTGGACCCGAATCGGAATTGGGGTCCGGGGGGGCCTCTTCGGGTATGATTCGACGTGATTCACAGTTTTCTTTCTCAAAACAAAGTTGTTTAACAAACTGTTTCTCATAATTACCATTACAATACTATAGGAACATTTTCCAATTGTTAATTCACGCAAAGCGCACCGAGCATTTTTCACGAACTCCTGCAGCTATGTATGTACAAGCCTGGTGATAATTTTCGCCATAGAAACGATACTTATACTGTTCTGTTCCTAGATAATGCTGGCTTGCCTTGGGTGATGGGGCGTAGCCGCGGAGCTTCAGCTGGGCGTGGTGGCACCTCGCGCGGTGGCCGCAACGTATGTGAACACAATTCAGCCGCCCCGAATCGGACTCCCAATCAGACTCTCAATTGGACTACATGTGAACACACCCTTAAAAAGCTTGTAACAATCTCATCACATCGTCGCCCGGAGATTCGACACTGCTTATGAATATCATCGCAACGTGGAATATGTCAAAGCAAGGCGCATAGAGCTGCCGACAAGTGTGAATGGCATTGCTGTCATCATCACAATCATCATCAGTAGTACATGATCTAATGGGAAACGGAAATTCCGCATCATAAAAGCAACCAGGCAAGAATATCAAGACACAAAACTGAGTATGTTTTATGCACAGCAAGGAATCGAGCGATTTGGCAGCTGCGCTTGAACGCCAGTCGATCGGCCAAACATGCCCCTCCGCGTTGTAACGGCACTCAAGGTACATATTGTTGCGGGGATGGGTCACTTTCTGCCAGCTTCGTGCATTGCAGCAGGCTTTGGTTGCGCTGGCTGGTGCCCCATCGGTTGCGTCCACGTTGCCTTATTAAGCGCCGCCACCGCAACACCGTCCGGAGAGGAGGGGCGAGGCAAATACGCGGTGGCGCCACACATACAACTCTGGTCTGCAGCATTTTTGGAGAAATCCTTTCTTTCTGGCCTCCTCTCCTAACTACTTTTCGAATAATATCCAGAACAATCTTCGCCGCCCACCATATCCGCCTCTTAACCACCGTACTCTGTACAAGTTCCTAAGTAAAGTGGCCATAAGATTCTTATAGTTTAACTTTCCAAATTCACTCATGCAAATACCAGTGCATTAGCTGTAAAGCAAGTTACGCAAAAATGCGGTGCGGCCAAGTCGAGATGTCTTCTCGCGGCACCTACTGGCTCATGGCCGCTTCCTTGCTACTTTTCTGTCTCCTATCTTTAGGTGAGGAGTTCTGTCGCATTATATAACCTGCAATTTGCATAACAGCAAGGCGTGGAGAAACCTTTGTTGTCTCGGACGCGCGATGCCCCGCAGCTCAGAGCAGTTAGCGAAAGATGCGTTCCTCATACTATTTTAGGAATCAAAAAGATATACGCCGCGCGGCGGTGACAAGGCTGACCAGAATTCGCGCGCTAGCTGCTGCTGCGACGAACTTGCACAGCTCCCTGTAATTCATAATCCCGATTTATGGTCACTTCGGCTCCATGAGCAAGCAACCACAAGTAACCTTTTTCTATTCTACCTGCCCGCAGCTTCTGCAGTCTCAGCGGAGGCACTTGAGGAAACAGCCGGTACCGTTGGCCTGTCCGCAGCATCACACACAGCAGCAACCGCCAACCGCCGGGCACTCCTGGGAGTTACCTCTCCACCGCGCAAATCGCCCTCGCCCCCGCGCTCTCCACCGCCGCCCCGTCCACCGCCGCCAGTTCGCCCACCCCCGCCGCCGCCCCGTTCGCCGAGCCCACCTCCAAAGTCCAAGCCAACCCCCAAGTCTCCCCCCCCAAAGCAGGCCCCGCCACCCCCGTCACCTCCGGTCTTCAGCTTTGAAGTATTCATGTACTTCAGCTTCAGTAATTCTGGCCCGCTGACTCCGAAACCTAACCGTCAGTTCGGCCGTGATGTCAACTGCAGCAAGCTTGCGGGTACCATTTCCACCAAGCTGGCAGATTTTGCAACAAAAGCCGAGCTGAGTTTTACGGCCCCCCTCCAAGTTACTCGTTGCAACGGCACCACATTTTCTATGACTGGCTCCGTTTTGTATAATGAATCTGCATGCGCGGCAATGGATCGCCAAATTGATTTTTCTGTGCCATATAGGTGGATGAACGAGGCAATGTACGAGAACAAGAACTGCAAGGCATATCCTTACATCGAAGTGGCCGTGATAATTCAATCGATTGGCACTGTGGGAGAAACGAAAGATGTGCCCTGCGTGTCCCGGTTCTTTGGATTTGTATTTTGCGCAGATAGGCTGCAACCAAGCCTCCCACCGCCCAGCTTCCCTCCTGTTTAGCAGCGTTGATGGTTGATGGATGCGATTATTATATTAGGTGTATGTATGTATGTATGTATGTATGTATGTATGTATGTATGTATGTATGTATGTATGTATGTATGTATGTATGTATGTATGTATGTATGTATGTATGTATGTATGTATGTATGTATGTATGTATGTATGCATGTATGTATGTATGATGTGTGGTACAGGGGAGCACATCTTCACCCACGGCCGCTAACCCGGCAATCCCTGCCTTCCCCGGTATCACCCTAGTCAACTGCAGACTGCTGTTCACCTCCGTTCATCAGCTTGCAAATCAGCACTAGACCACCGTCTGTAGACAAGGGGCACTGTACCTTCCACTATCGGAAGAGTGTTCGATACAGATAGGTTTCGTTTCTGGGACCTCCCGGGGGCATTTTGTGTGCTCTACCAATAGTGCCTAACTTCGACATCTGCATGTATGTATGTACGTATGTATATATGTATGTGTGTGTATATCATCATGGAGGGGAGGGAGGTTCCGGCGTTGATGAGACACGACGTGATGACGTATGACATGGTGCGGAATGTTTCGTATTTGGGGGAACTCGAAATGTAGTTTGAATGGGAAACAATCCGGATTTTTTAAAATTACTAATTACCGGTGATAATGATGATGACGGTAGTGATGTAAATCATTACGGTAGTTTATACATGTATATACATATATATGCATATATATGTATATGTATATATATGAGCAGGGGCTGCTTTTGGCAAATGCCTATTACTTCTTGTAAATGTTGGCTAATTAAATGGCATAAAAATCATGAAGTAAAGGATCTGCTAACTTCTACAGAGAAAAACAGTATATACATATATATGTATATATGTATATATATCCGCGCCGTTCCACTGTCGAACGAAGGGTGACGTCTTGGTACCGTAAAGGGGTGAGCTTCCAAGGGGTATTCTGTACGGCGGTGTGCTGAGGTAGATTTGAGCCACATACGACATAACAGCTACCAGCTGTCGATCGACACCTCTGCTGTGTGAGTGTGCCGTGTTTATATCTGTATGTATGTATGTATGTATGTATGTATGTATGTATGTATGTATGTATGTATGAGGCAAAATAGGAAAACAAATTCAGGCACACAGGCCAAGAAAGGAGACATGGAAGTAAACACACCCCGAGATGTGCGTCTGTATCCATGTCGGTGGCTGGGGGAGCTGTTGGCCGGCGGCGGGGAGAGTGGACGGCAGGAGAGAAAGAGAAGAAACGAGTTTCGGGTATAGCAACCACGACAATTCTCCGAAACCAGTTACGACAATTTCCAAAATTCCACTGAAGAGATGACGGTTCTCCTCCTTCCGTCCCTTACCTACCTTGCATCCTCTGTAATAAATCGTTATCATGGCCATTCATTTCCTTTCGGAAATGCGCAACAGCACCGTACGAACGAAACCCTTCAAATAGGCATACAGACGGAAACACAGACGTACATACGCAGGGGCAGCAGATGGACATACAGACGGCCGTACACACACACAGTAACACCTATTACAGCTACACAGAGTGCACTACCACGCCACTACTGGCTCTACACGGGCACCTGCACGTGATCCCATATTTGGCTTCACGCCACCACCGAGAATACGACACCGTCACGGGTGTATTCGATCAGCAGCATCTCTCCCCCTCTTTGGCCGTCAAGAGCCCCCCCCCCTGAGGTATGGAGGCTGAATCGTCGGTTCTTCCCGTGACCCCCCCCCCTCCCCACGTCCTCCCTTCATCTCCTTCACTTCACGTGACCTCATGTCACATCACAACAAACATTCCTGATCTGTAGTCACCGCGTGCCCCCCACCTGCCTCCCCAGCTCTCCCCAGCTCTCCCCAGCTCTCTCGCCGGGTCCGACTGGCGCCCCTCAGCCCCTCAGCCCCTCGGAGACACCTTAACACCACAACAGCGGCCAATCAGTCTAAGGGGCCGTCCTCCTCTAAGGGGCCGTCCCCCTCTAAGGGGCTTCCCACATCGCCAACAGGGAGCGGTCCCTCAACACCGCACCCCCGCCATCACTGAAACCCATCGGCGAACCTCGGACGCAGTAGCCGCCGCAGCAGACAAGGACGGCGGATGGACAGACAGACAGACGGACAGACAGACGGAGAGACAGACGCATATGGAAGGCCAGGAGGGGGAGAGGGAGAAGGATGTGTTTCGCTCCCTCCCTAGCCCCCCCTCCCTCGCACACACACACACTGATCGAGCATTCCCGTTTACAAACCAAGTCCAGGTCTTCGTCACGTATGTATACATGTATGTATGTATGTATGTATCAAGTGTATGAGCGTATGTATGGTACGTCAATTAGCGCTACCTAGATGACTGCTTGGGCGATTGTCGTTGTTGCTGTTGTTGCTCGCGGATGTGCTCGCCCGATACGACAAGCAGCCAGGCAAGTACGGCGTCGTACGCCGCAAAAGTGATCGCTGCGGAGGGCGCAGCCTGGGGGCCAGCCGGGGGGAAGGCGGGGGGGGGGCGAGAGAAGGTGTATGTACGGAAACGAGCCAGGTAATGAAGAAATATACTCACTAACGGGCACAGAGCTTTGGAGGTACGCATAATGGAGTACGGCAGTACGGTAAGGTGTTTAAAGTTCGGTTCTGATCGTGTCCACCCTTCGCATCTCCGGTATCCTCGCCCTCAACCCCCTCCCCCCTTTCCAACCCCCTCCCCCCTTTCCAACCCCCTCCCCCCTTTCCAACCCCCTCCCCCCTTTCCAACCCCCTCCCCCCTTTCCAACCCCCTCCCCCCTTTCCAACCCCCTCCCCCCCCCTCCCCCCCCGTTCCCCCCTTCCCGCCATCCCGGGAGGGTGTTGGGAGCACACACCTTGACAATGGAGGGCACGCTGCCCTTCCAAAGCCCCATGAGCCCCTCCGTACGGTAAATGTACGACAGGCTCTGAGCCAGGGTCCGCATAGCGAAGCCTGCATCCACACGTGCGCCGTACCTGCGGCCGAACCCCGGGGGGAGAGGGGGACAGCCGGGGAATTAGGGAGGTGTATGCGTGTGTGTGTGGGGGGGGGGGACGGGGGTGAAGTTGAGGGGGTTGTGTAATAAGTGCGGCAAAGTGCGGATGGAAGAGGGGCCGAGTTTATGACGCTCCGAAACCACATTCATTAGGATAATGGATTTGTCGTATTCGCGTGTAAGGCAATTATGCAGCTGGACCTTACATACATACCTTACATACATACATACATACATACGCACACATCGCCCCACCTGAGCGACCTCCGCAACCCTGCCACCTGGTACCTCTTCTTGGCCACATCCAGAGGGTGGGTAGCCAGCTTGGCGAACAGACCCGCCAGCAGCCCGCACGCGAACGCCTGGACGCGACTGGACTGAACACCAAACAGCATGACAGGGGCGGGGGGGGCGGGGGGGAGGCCCGCGGAAGAGGGGGTGGGGGCCTCTCCTGCTCCTGCTGCTGTTGATGACGATGACGATGATGTTGATGTTGGTGTTGGTGTTGATGATGTTAATGGTAGTGCTGATGACGACGACGCGCTTCTCCCCCCATGAGCCCCCCTTACTGCCGTACTTCCCGTCGCTGCTGTGTCGACGTCAGCACCGTACGACCCGTCGGGAGGTGCCGTACTACTAGCTGCCTGATGGGTTTTAGGACTGCTGTCTGGCTGGCGGTGCACGTGGCGGGAAGTGGGTTGTCGGGGGGTTGGGGAAGAGGGGGGGGTGGGGGGGGTGGGGGAGTTGAAGGGGGGGGTGGCGGCGGCGGCGGCTGCCGCCGCCGCCTCCGCAACGTCGCGCTGGTAGCGAATCCGCGCCTCGTCGACCAGCGCATTGAGTGCGTCGTACAGTCCGAACTGGAGGGCTGCGTACGGCATGATCTCGATTAGCGTCACTCCCAGGCCGCTGTACAGACCCACGGGTCCACGCTGTGATACGATACCGCGAGCCGCATCCCACATGTTGCGGTACACCTGTACGATAGGCAGTTAAATCAGTGGGTTAGGTAGTTACTAGTTCGTTAGGTTAGTAGTAAGGTACACAGCTGTTCTTTATAGGTAGATATGTTGTTAATTAGGTTGGTGGTTACCCTTTTATCTTCCCCCCAAAACCCCCAAAACCCCTCCCCCCCCTCCCCCCAATCCCCCTCCCCCCAACCCTGGACTCACCTTGGGTTCCCCCTGAGCTGCCAGAGTGGTGCGCAGCAGGTCGAAGGGGTAGGAGGCCACCGTGGCTGCCGCCCCCGCCAGGGCGCCGCTGGCCAGGGAGATCAGGGGGCTCGACCCGGGGTTCGCTGCGTGCCGTACATACACATACACACACGCATGCACGTGCAGGGCCGTATAGGTGGGAACAGCAATAAGGTGGGGGAGGAGAACGCGGGGGGGGGGGGAGGAGTAGAGGACAAAGGGGATCAGCGGGTGTACGGCAGGAGAGGAAAGGAAGTCCTGGGGAAAGGGAAGAAAAATACGTAATGTAGTTTCTTAGTTTTCGTACATGTACGACACGTTGCTGTGTGTGTGTGTGTGTGGAGCGGAGTGAGGGGCAACAGGCAACAGCGTTGGCGATTACCGGCAGGGACATGGATTGGTCGGCCGGAAATGGCCCCCGGATGACGGGCGGGGAGGGGATAGGGCTCTTTGCAACACAGATGCCGACCCCGGCTACTTCCCGCGGCCGGGAGGGGGAGCTGTCTGCCTTCCATCCCAGCCAGACAACCGAAACAATACATACCTGTCAGGCCGTACGCCGCTGCCGCCTGCCGTACTTGCTGCAACGCCACGAATTGCACGGCAGTGTACGGCACTGTGAGCAGAAGCCCGGGCACCGTGCCGCGCCACAGACCCTGCGTGCCGGGAGCGAATTGTTCGACTCGTATGCCGTACTGTTCAGCGCGCAGGCAGTGCGAGAGAGTTATGAGGAGGGTTGGGGAGGCAGTACGACAAGTTGCGTTGGTCAAACACACACGCTTTTGGCCACCACCAACTCCCCTTCAGCACACACACGCCTGTATGCTGATAACAGGTGGTGACGCATCAAACAACAAACATGAAATAAGGTTGCAACAGCACTTCACCTCAACTCTTGCGGCAGTCCGTCTGAGCAATACCCACCGGTACGCCTTCCTCCCGGACAATGGTGGTCAATGCCTGGCGGAATCCCGTGTACTTGGACCGGAGCCCCGCCTGGGCCTGGGCGGAAGCTCCCATAATGGGTTCCAATTGAACCTGGAAGCGAATTTTGATGACGTCCAGCGGTCCGGTGATCACGCGCGCGATGCATCCCGCAATGGCGCCCGCCGTGGCATCGATGATCATCCGGTGCTTCCCCTTCTCCTTACTGTCATCACCACTAGAGACGTGCACCATGGTAGGTGGCTTGTGTCAACGAAGGAGTTGCGAGGCAGTACGCCGTTGTTGTGGGTGAGGTTCGGCGCCTGCCGACTTCCGAAACGCTCGAGTACCAAACGGGCGGCTATTGAGTCAGTCAGGCAGCCGCAACTGGTTCGCAGCGGGCTAATGGGTAGAAATTTTGTTTAGGAGATTACTGATAATATTTGCGTGTCTGCAGGAATAGAGGGTACACCAGCCTGCGCCGGCGTGCAAGTGAACCAGAGCGACGAAGGTTCAGGGCAACGCCTAGAGTTTCCGTTAAGTTTGTGTATCATGGCAACGACAGCCTGCCTATGTTGGTGCAGGAAGATGCATATTGTTGTGGTTGTGAATGCGTCAGAGCCGTAATAACCACCTTGCAACGAACTATTCCCCGGAGCATGAACCGTATAGGCGAAGTGATAATCCGAAGTGTTTGACTCTTCGTTGTTACGTCGTTCTTCGCTGGATCTTAGGAACCGGATTATGATAATCACAAATAAGGTCCCAGGGCGGCCGCAACACTGTAATCCCTCCCTTGCTCACTTGTTACAAACTCAGGGCCATCGGAAACGACTTGTTGTGAGGATTGCCTAATGCTTTATAAGGTCATTTAACGATACGACAAATTCGCATTTCATTTCCACTAGTGGCTCTGCGGCAAACCCTCCATAACAGCGCGGACAGCCATTTCGGTTCGACGGGTTGGAGCAACAGTGGCCATGTTTAGCATGCTCGGCCGGACCGGAGTCGCAGGTGTGGAGCAGGTCTAAATTCGGAGCCGGCTTGCAAGGTTGCTTGCACCGCAGAGTAGTTATTTGCTCCTCTATAGTATCTGCAAGGAAAACTGCTTTTTAGTACGTTTACTGGCATTTACTTCAGGTGCTGGCAGTTTACTGACAGCCCAAGTAGCATATCCCCAAGTGGATAGCATGTCCCGACCAGCACAAACTGGTCTTTTAACAGATTGCATCTCGAAGGCATGTCTTTTACGACACACGAACGGAGAAAGCTAAACGGCGATGTGTTGCTTCCAACCATGCACCTTGAACCCACCATCACTATAACCGCACTACCCCTCACCTGCCAAATCAAGAATCCCTCCCAAGAACCTTTTCCCACTCATCCTTCTTTCCCACTTTGTCCCAATCTCCCCGCTCACCCACACGCCATCACCCGCAGGCGGCCTGCCCACAACGGCGCCCTCCACCACGGCCACCACCGCTGCTGCTGTTTGCCCGCCGGCGATGACGTCATTAGCGCCGCCGCTGCCGTACAGCGTGCGGTCCGGAGCCCTCCTTCCACCCTCCCCAACCTCCCCTTGGTGGAGCCTCCCTCCCGGGCGCCGTCCGTGTACGGCAGCTGCTGCCATCAGGGGCGTGAACAGCTGTAGCAGCAGCGGCAGCAGCAGTTATGCGGCCTTCGGTAGCAGTAGCAGCTCCATCGCCGGCATGAGCGGGAGCTGTAGTAAAAGCAGCAGCAGCAGCAGCAGCAGCGGCACCCCCTGGGCTCAACAGAGAGCCCTCAACTGCCAGCTGGCGTCAACGGCTGTAGCACTTGCCGGTTATGCCTCCGCCACCCGGCGAGGGGGCCGAGGTGCAGGAGGAGCGGCAGGGAGGGGGTTGGCGGCGCCGCCACGCTCCTCCATCTCGTCCAACGGTCAGGTGGGCCCTCCGCCTCCACGTAAGCCTTATAAAGGCGGTGCTGGCGGCGGCGGCAAGGCGGGCCCCGGCGACAAGGGTGCAGTTGTAGTACCTGGCGGCGCCGCCGCCGCTGGGGGGGCTGTAGCGGTGGCACCCCCTGCCCCCCTGACGGCGGCGGCGGCCGCTGACGAACCCCCGTTGGAAGAGCTTGATGAGGAGGCGGGGCAGCAGCTGGTGAGTGTTCGTATGTCTGTCTGTATGAGCTTTGGGTTGCCTACGTTAGGGTTTTATAGCCAGTTTACATGCTACGTTACGTTAAGACTTTTTGGGAAAAGTGGTCGGTTCGGACATGGTAACGGTACGTTACCGGTAAAGTGGACGAAAAGTCTAAAGTGACCGGGGGAGCGGGGTGAATTTCGTCAAACGTTGACCCCTCCTACCGTTACCTGAATTGCGTCGCCAATTTCACGAATTATAACAAACGGCCAAGCCCAATCGCTTATAAAGACCACATACTTGACAAATTGTGCGCGCTTTGCACTCCGACCGAATTCCTTGTTGCACCGCTGCCTTATATTCTAAAAATGAACAAGGACAACACCGCCCGTATTGCTCGCCCGCTAGCAACCGCTAATATGGCAAATAGGCAACCAAACGCAGTATCAGGGCTGAAGCCGCTGGGGAAACAGCAAGTCGGCCGCATGGGCAGCGGCATGGGCAGCGCCGAATCGGCCCGAACGCCCCAGCATCAAGCAACACGAATTTATTCCAATCCATATGGGAATATGCTGAAGTTTTGGCCATTGAAAGCCATAAAATGGAGATGGTTTACACAGCTCGTCCAGCGAACACCTCGTCGTAATGTCCCATGTAAACTGGGTGACTTTCTCAGGCCCACTTTTACCTAAAAGGTTTCGCAACGTAACGTAACATGTAAATCCAGTATTAGGGTTTTACGTTAGTGTTCCCTACGTTAGCACGCTCAGGGGGGGGGGCCCGGGTGAGGGGTGACGCGGGAAGGGGGGGGAAAATTGGGGAGGGGGGTAAAACACAATGGCAGCGGCGGCGGCGGCGTATAGGGATGGTGCTGGTGCTGGTGAACTGGTGGAAAAGGGTCGGGGGATGTGGGGGCGGGGGTTGAGGTCAGGATGGAGATTGTACGGAGGATGGGTTGCTGACGTCAGCTGCTGTGGGGACACGCGGCCGCCTCCTGCTGGGGTCTCCCCTCTTCATCGCGCTCTCCTTTCGCGCGCTGCTGCGGCTGCAGCTTCTGCTGCGGCTGCAGCTACTGCAGCTACTGCTGCTACTGCTGCTGCTACTGCTGCTGCTGCCCCCCACCAGTGCCCTCATTGTTCTCCCGAACCCCGTGGGCCCACCTTTCAAACGTTTTTAATCCTGGGTACATCTCCCGTACATTGCCGTACCTCAGGCGCCGTACATGGATGCCGTCGTGAAGGTGTACTGTATGCATACGGAGCCGAACTATTCTCTACCTTGGCAACGTAAGCGGCAGTACAGCAGCTCATCGTCGGGATTTGTCGTACGGTACGGCGGCCGTAACTGGCTGCTCACTAACGCCCACTCCGTGGATTACCATACACAGGTGTGTTTGCATGTATGTATGTATGTATGTATGTATGTATGTATGTGGGAAGGCTCATGAGGAGTTTTAGGGTTCTGTTATGATACCACACACGAGTTAAGCTGCTGTAGTAGGGGATCGGGTGGGGGAGTGGTTAGCAGGAATGGATGAAGGCAACCGAACCCGTACCGACTGCCCGGGGGCTAACTGCTCGGGGATAACGAACAACCGAAAGGAACAAACGGTTGGGCAACGACCGCAGCAAAAACGCGCAGTCAGGCGCAGTAAGGTGCGACCCACGGGTCGGCCGAACACATAACTCGCACTCGACATGAAGCAGCTGTATGGCGCCGGTGCTCAGTACGACAGAACAGAGCTCCGAGTTATTGCTCTCCTGCCGCACTAGAGAACATCAAAGAGAACCAGATGTGCGCCAGTCGGTGGCGGTGGCGGTCGCAGAGCGGTCACAGGGCCCCCCTGCTGCAGATGTAAGGCCCTAGTCCACGTGGCCTCGTCCCCGTTGGGTGGGAGGGAGGTATTTAAGGGGTTTTAAGGTCCTTCCCTGCCGTACAGGTCAAGGTGAAGCGGCGGGGTGACGACCGCAAGTTCCTGGCCCGGGTGGTCAGTCTCGGAGTGGAGTGCGACATCGCCGCACTGGAGGTGGATGACCCGGAGTTCTGGGGGGCAGTAGCTGCGGAGGAGGAGGAGGACGACGACACGGCTGTAGCAGCAGCAGCACCCGCGGCAGCACGGACCTTTCCCCCGGCAGCGGCGGGCGAGGATGGCGGTGATGGTTCGGCAGTTGGTAGTTGGCAGTTGGGGGTTGGAAGCGGTCGCCAACTGCCGGTTCTGGAGCTGGGGCCTCTTCCCCGCCTGCAGGACGGCGTGGCGGTTGTCGGTTACCCCGTGGGGGGGGACACCATATCCGTTACGGCGGGTGTGGTCAGCCGAATTGAGGTTACGGATTATAGCCATGTAAGTTCTGTACGGGTGTCGTACAGGTACAGTACGGATGTACGAGTGGTGTGGTGTGATGTGCAAATCCTTCTTTTTGTGAGAGGGAGGGGGAGGGGGAGGGGGCAATGCGTATGCTTGCTGTGTGGGTTGGTATGTTTCCGTTAGACCGTTAACAATCACCAATTCGTTAATGTCGTTTTCTGTCCGCTGTACAACCCGGATCTGTCCTTACCCGTCGTTGCGCTCCCCCCACGACATCTTCCATTACAAGTTGCCGTACCCTATTCCGTACTCCCTTTCTTCACCCGATTTCTCCCTGGTTATCCCCTAATACCCCCCCCCTCCGCCCGCCTGGTCGTTTTCCGCGTGTTGCATTTCCCCCCACAACCCTTCATACATACATATACATATACGTATATACATACGCACACATACGCCCCACCCCAGGGCTCGACCGAGTTGTTGGCCATCCAAATCGATGCGGCCATCAATGGCGGCAACAGCGGTGGACCCGTCTTCAACCGGGCGTGTCAGTGCGTGGGTATTGCCTTCCAGGTGTGTGTGTGTGTGTGTGTGTGTGTGTATGTGGGGGGGGGAAACGGGGGTAGACGGGGAAGGGGGGGGAAAGGGAGGGCGGGGGGAGGTGCCAGTGGAGGACTGCTTGCCTTGGCGGACTTGGTCGCTGAGTCAGCCAACCCCACCAGTTCGGAAGTGAGGAGGGAGGTCGTTGCATCCTGTATGTATGTACGTGTTCGGGGTTGGGGAATGTCGCACAGTGTCGTGTCGCTGCCGAGTGTTCGCGTCGCGTCTGGGTTTGCCTTTTCGGTTTTCCGTACATCCTGCCCCAGATCGAAACACACACATACACACCCCTTACCCGCTCCTTCCATTTCCCCTCATCCTTATCATGTAATTTCTCCCCCCCCTAATCCCCCCTAATCCCCCCAAACCCCCCAAACACACATACACACACACGCGAAGGCGCTTGTGGGCAGTGATGTGGAAAATGTGGGTTACGTCATCCCGACGCCCGTGGTTATCCACTTTTTGGAAGATTATCTGCGTACATCGACATTCACCGGCTTCCCTGCGCTTGGGCTACAGTGGCAAAGAATGGAAAGCGAGGCGTTACGTCGCGCGTACGGCATGTCTCCGGGACAAAAAGGCGTGCTTACCCGGTCCATAAACCCCACCTCCGCGGCGGCGAGTGTACTGCAGCCTGATGACGTGGTGTTGGCGTTTGACGGGACCCCGATTTCGAATGACGGTACGGTGCCGTTCCGTACGGGCGAGCGGATCGCGTTTTCGTACTTGATCACGTCCAAGTTTGTGGGGGATACGGCAAAGCTGGATGTACTTCGAGGTGGGAAGAAGATGGAGCTAAATGTCACGTACGTTTCGGTTTCGGGGTTGGGGGTTTCGAGGGGTGCGCGTGTACATGGATGCGTGTGTGTGTTTGTGCGTTGCTTCAAAGAACATTAAAACCAATGTGTATATATGTATGTATGTGGTGTGGTTTAGTTTCCCCCCTTCCTCTCCCTGTGTGTGTACGACCCCGTCCCCCCCCCAGCCTATCGAAACCCAAGGCGCTTGTTCCCCCGCACCTGAACAACCGGGACCCGCCGTACCTCATTGTGGGGGGCCTGGTGTTTACGACAGCCAGTGAGCCGTACCTTCAGTCGGAGTACGGCAGTGATTACGGCACTGACGCACCGGTCAAACTTCTTGACCGGCTGTACCACGGCTTTCCCAAGACTCAGGATGAGGAGGTGGTGGTTCTGTCGCAGGTTCGTATGTGTACGTATGTATGTGCGTATGTATATGCACTTTTTTCTCCGCGTAATCAATATTTTCGGCAGTTGCACCTCTTTAATTAAACTAGGGTTTCCTTATGACTGTGCGATTTCCCCTTTTCCCTTCCTTCCCCCCTCCCTGCCTGGGCTTCCCTTCCCCCCTCTCCTCCATCGGCCGCAGCAGTCTTCCCTTGGCACCAGCTTCACTCGCTCGTGGTTTGGCTCCTCCCCTCCCCCACCCTTCCCCCCCCCCGACCTCACCCCGCGCTGTTCAGGTTCTGGCTTGTGACGCCACATTGGGTTATGAGGACGTGTACAACGTACAACTGCTGAAGTTTAACGGTCGCCACATCAGCAATCTGACTCAGCTGGCGGAGGAGGTACGGCAGGAGCTGCAAAGGGAGAGGGAGAGGCAGGCGGCAGTGGCAGCAGCCGCAGGGACAGGGGCCCAGGGCCCGGTAGCGGGTGATGGCGGCGGCGGCTTCCTTCGCTTCGACCTGGACTACAACGAGGTGGTGGTTGTGGAGGCCGGGGGTGAGTGAGTGAGTGAGTGAGTGAGTCCACCTCCCTTTCACACAGCACATATTCCGTATTTCCCCGCCCGTGAGAGAGAGAGAGAGAGAGAGAGAGAGATGTCACATTCGTTGTGATATTAGCTACCACTGTGATGTGATGTGATGTTACCCCCCCCCCCCGGGATGGTGGTCAGGGTGCGACAGTCCGATCGGGTCCCGACAGGAATGGCACTTGTGCTGAAAATCCCGACAGGCTTTGAAAAATGCTTTCGGGCGGACCCGACGAAAAAGGGGGAAAATGCCAAACGGCCATCGGGAGCCCCCGTCGGGGCCCGGAGGGCTCCCGTCGGGGGACCCGACAGGGTTAGGGGCGCTAGGACCGCCCGATCGGGTGCCGTGGGTCGTCGGTGGGCCCTTCGGCGACGGACAGCTACAGCGATACATAATGGCATTCATAAAAATATAACTGGATGGAAATATGTAATGTAGTGGTAGCATTCGTTCACTTCGTTGCCTCTTCTTCTTTATCCTTTGACTCTGCTGTACAGGGATCCATGCTTGGATACATAAGCGAAGGGCACACTACCTTATCTCGACCTTATTGACAATTAATACAAAGACCATATGCAGCTTTACATTACCCTTTCGAACGTTTGCTGCCTCGTCCTGTAAGTCTGTGGGCTTTACCAAAACAGCTTGATGCTCACAGGCAGACGTGCAGGCGTGCATGTGTTGCTGTGTGTGGGTGTGTGGGTGTGTTTGTTCGTGCATATCAGAACTGTGAACTGCAAAATGAGAACTGGAAACTGCGCATATAAAATACGAATAAATGTAATTTCAAGCGGCACACAGCGAAATTTCGTTCTTGCGTCACCCGACAGGTTTTGGGATGGGCTATCGGGGCACCCGACAGAAATTGAAAGATATGCAAAAACGCTATCGGGTGGGCCCGACGGGCATGGGAAGGGGAAAACCGGCAACCCGACTATTTCAGGAAGGTCCTGTCCAACCCTGGTGGTGGTTGTGGTGGTTGTGGGAGCTCTTATCGGAGCGCCTTGAGAGGCACCGGACCATACATGCACAACAAGTATTTGCAAGTAATTACCCCTTCGTCCCGCTCTTTTCCCCCTCCCTCCCCCCCCCGCACACACATACACACACGCGGCCCCCGGGTCCCAGATGTGCTCAAGGTCACGCCCGACGTGTTGAGAGCGCACTCCATACCGCAGGACATGGCACCGCATGTCCGGGAGGCGCTCAAGGGGGCAGCAGGGGGAGGAGGGGGGGGACCGGGGGCGGTGGGGGAGCCAGAGGGGTCGTTGAACAACAGTGATGGCGGGCGGGCCTAGTAATGCAGGGGGGGATCTGTCTGTATATCTATCTGTCACTCGGATGTCAGCCGGCCGAACAGGCGTCCCGTCCTACGTTCATTCGCTCACGACGTAGCTTGTGTGTGCCGTACAGGCAACCCCTCTCTAAGGCTGTCGCTCGGCCGGTGTTGACACTGCCGGCGTTGCTTCAACTAAGGTCCATTTCATCGTGTTCAATGTTCAATCCATTGAGACCTCCCATCTTGCACGCGGCAGTGAAGGGGAGCAGAGCGAGTCCCTGGTTCCGTACGTCTTGGCCACCGCATGTAATAATTACTGGAACGGACTTGTCTTAGGGTCCCATTTACCCGCTTAGTAATCGCTTAGTGGATTCTTTATACCAACTACAGTAATACTTACCAGCAGCGACAACAGCTTCATGTATCGCAGCTCTACTAACAGCCTAACATATGAAGGAAGAAAAAATAACAATTCTCTAGTCCCACTGAAATCAACAAGAAATGATACAAAAGCATTCGCAGCCATGTATTTAGCTGACATCTGTCACAGATTTGAAGTTTTCTCGGAGATCCGAGCCTGAACAGCTCAACAGCGGAAGTTAAATGTCAATCTTACACCTCCACAAAATTATTTGCAAGCCTGGAATCAAAGTATTGACTAAAGCAAGTAATGTACCTTTAGTACGTAGTTTCGTATGCGTTCAAGATCATTGCCCTACCTAACATAACGAAATCTGCCTGCATCATTCCCAATTCCTTATGCAGCCAGACCACTTGCAAATAGCCAATATGATCATGTAAATTTGCTTGATCACAGTAACGGTACGGTCCCGTAGTTACGAACTGTACAAACTCACTTTCTGTTACGCTATCACAACCTAGTGTACGACACCAAGACTCCAGACCACTTGTACAGCAATTTGTAATTACAAGGCCCGGGAATAGAGCTGCCATCACCAATCGAAGCAATCGTAACCCAAGCGGGTCTACCAGTGACAGGTGTCATAATCCAGATTCACGTATGGTAAAAGATAGGCAAGTGCCCAGTGGGGTAACCAAATATGTGCGAAGATAATGCCAAGTGGCGAAGTGCCAGAGCCTTAGGAAATTCCTCAGGGAAATATGCAAGTATGCCACAACAGCGGGCTGTGTTTCGTTCTCCGTGTGCAGCCGATGATCCATCACAGGGTAATACCGCGGGGATAGACATGTCACAGGTGATTGTGGACCACCGGTACATATGTACATACATATGTATGTCAGAAGCCATAAGTGGATAATCAGGCATCACTTCGTTTTAGCGCCTGTTGCGCTCATCCATTTTTGCATTTAGCTGCAAACGGCGAAGTGGGCATCACGGTGCGATTATTCACAAACAGGCGCTGTAACCGTAGTTGTATATGTTACATGTCGTACACTGACCGTCGGCCAGCAGCATGTGCTCGCCCCCCACACACAACGGTCCCGTCAGGGGGCGCACACAGGATCATTCTTAACAAATCTGAAACAACCTGAAATGGAATATTCCCGTACGATCTCCTTCCGCGCTCTCATGATGAGATTGCACACCAGAAGGCTTCCAAGCTTGATCGCATCAAAAGACACAGTAACGCTGCGCATATCTACATCTGTGAAGTATAAGCACTGGATGGGGCTGCCCTTTTCGGGAGCCGCAGCCGTCATGTGGCCAACACATGCTAAGGTTTTCATTCCTCGTTTAGCACGTCGTAAGCTAATGCAGTTTCGTTTATGTTGCTGGGCTCTGGAGGCAAACAGAGCACGAAGAGGCAAGTACCATGTCCCCAGGGGGCAGCGGTTTTGCCGCGGTTGTGGTGCTAATAGCCGAATCGAGGATGAAAAACACGTGTTATTGGAATGCCCAGCCTATAATGATATTCGTGCTGAAGAGGAATTCGATCATCAACAGAGCATGTTGGAGGCCATGAAATGGGAACCAGCACGTCTGGCGAGGATGTTGGCACGTATGTGGGCTCACCGAAACTCAATTACCCCCTTTGGACGCTAGTCTGGGCTGATGTGCGGTGTTTTTTTCCTTTCCTCCGTGGCTTTTAGGCGTTGTAGTATTGCCCTTGGGCCTTCGGCTCGTATGGGTAGTCTTACAGGTATGGGGTCACGCACCCCCAACCATGTAACACACACACACACATCCGTAGACATCCATACTTGTAATAGCTCGCTAGTCCATGGTACGGCACACACATTCTGTCAGGGAGTATGCGCTCGCTAGTGGGCCAGATATACCCAACAGCAATGGAATGAAGTCCGCGGTTTGGTTGATTAGGTTTTAGAACGACCTACATACATACGATACAACCACCACTGGCTACCACTAGAGCCGGCTGCACCTACTAGGATAGTACTGTAGTCGCTGGCAGCTGAAAAGGCCTCTCGAGATGCTGGTGGTCACGCTTTGCGCGTATTTGTAGAGCGGTACTGTGTACCAGCTACTACAAGTACCCCCAAGCTAAAGTTCCTTGTACTGCTACTGCCTTGGTGGACCAGTGCGGTACGTGGGGCAGCAAGAGCCCGATTTGTAGCTGTTGTAGATGCTGACGTAGCTGTACGGGCGGAATACATAGGCAACGGTGAGTGGGGGGAGAAAGGAAGGAGTGTTAGTTATAACACACCCGACATGCACGTGGGCATCATTACCTAGTGCACAGATAACAGTGTGATTAATTGAACCGGGGCGGTCTCTCATTGACAGTGCCTGAGTGGCAAATGATGCCTTCATGATTGATGGAGTATTCCGTGGGCACCCAGCAGGCAGGGTTGGGTTGGGTTGGGATGGAGAGGGGCCCCAGCAGGGAACAGCAGCAGCAGGTGCACAATACACACCACCACTGTTACACGCCTTGTTCATGTTACAGTTATTTGTGCCACGCCACTTTGCGGATACACTGCTGGGAGGTTTACATGCATGCAGAATGAACATTGAGCCCGTGTATGTATGTATGTATGTACGGATATATATGTAAAACATGACCTCATTTCCCGCTGGTCACCTAGCGAGCGAGCGAGTGGCTATTTCATTCGGCAAAGCAGCTTACTTAGGCCACGAAAAACCCAAACGCCTCCTTACCACTGGCCATAACCAGTTTTGCACAGGTTGCTCATGGTGATGTGGTTCTGAATCGCTACACACACCACGCCACCGTTGGCTTGTTCTTCAGTCCAGTTCAGGGTGACTGCACATACACATACACATACACAGGGTTATGGATGCAAGTTGTGTTATTGCACAGTTGCAGTGTTATACATGGTGTAACAGACCTAGCAGAACATGTAGACATTGAACTGTTCATGATGAGGTGCATTCGAATTCCCCTAGCTAGCTGTAGCGAGCTAGTAGCAGTACGTACCTTTCAGGGTATCGGTTCCCGTGGCGCCCCAGCTGTCGGCGATCGTCTTCATCGGACCCCCAGCAGGGTACACTGTGAAGCCTCTGACCGCCGACCTGAGTGTATCCTCTGCAATTAGCACGTGGTAACAGCAGTGGTAGTTGAGGCCTGGCTAAGCTATAGCCAGGGCAGGCAACAGAAGAAAGGCTCTTGTGGGTTGGCTCTCCATGCAAAGATAGATCTCAAGTGATGTAGGAAGGTCCGACTGCTGCGGCCACATACAGTACAACCATACGCACATTCAGTCCCATCCACAAACCATGCAACCATCCATGTTTGCCCACATTGCCTGATAAGGCTACAGCGAGGGAGAACAACACAACAACTTTACCTGCAGACCACTCAATCTTTGCAAGCGCATCGCTTACACTGTAGCAAGAGCTCTGCATAGCAGGGGGTAAGCAAATGACGGGACAGCATCCTTAGAGAAAATCGTTCATGTCCTGGGGTGCGAGGTTGCGAAGCGATGAAATGAACTTCTGGGCGAATAGGCTCGTCATCAGGCAGGCTCCCTTACACTTAGCAGCAGGACCGATACAACTGAACAGACCAGGTGTAGTAGCTGTCGTACAGAAGTACGGCTCATACTGGTAAATATTGATACTGGTTAAGCACATTACAGCTTGTGTGTAAAAGGGTTATTGAAATCTCTCTATTCATTATTACAGGCTACGGTGCGCCCCACTTAACCAGTTGTAATTATTATTAAATTTTTCATTTTATTCTTAGGTAGTTGATTATGCCAGCTGATGGACTCTGTAACTGAAAAGGAGTTAAAAGGCCAGGGGCATGTGAGGGTGCGCGTCATGTGACATGGACTGACCGCCATCCACTGCCCCAGCGGAAAGGAGAAGGACGGGCACAGGCTGCTGATGTGGCTGGGACCTGGGAGGGCCCCAGACATAGTAGGTGTCCGTTGAGAAGGCCTCTATTTTGCTGGCGGAGCACCTCAGCGTGTGCCGTACTATCTACAGCTACTGCAGCAGCTAGGTGCATGGGAGGAAATAAAGCGAATGGCAACCCGCGGGTCCCTCCGTGGGGCACCTATCTGTCTGGCCTCACCGGCTTGAGCTGACTCGAGTCCACCGTGTTGACGGTGAAGCAGTACTCAGTGACGTTGCGGCCCCAGCGGATGTTGCCCGGCTGTGTGTACCAGTTGGGGGACACCGTGTACGGCAGGACGCCCTGGTTCTTGTCACATCTACATCTGCATGGCAGGAAAGGAGCAGATGTCCGCAGGGACGACAGCACCAATAATAGTAATATGGATATTTATTTCACCCAGCCAATGGTCCTAAAATGTATTTTGATCCATGCGTGTTAGCATGGTGTCTTTGCTTTGCTGAGTACACCTTTTCAAGATCTGTAGGCACCTTTTCAAGATCTGCAAGCACGACAAAGTCGCTACCTTGATAATATACATATACATGGGTTTAATTCTTGTGAGAGGAAGCTTCCAGTAAACTTCCCGAAGCGAGTTAGGCAAGTTAGGGCGGCCGTGCCGTGCCCCGTGCACACATCTGTGCCCTCATCAACGAATCGTCGTGAAGTGAGGTCGCATCAAGACGTAAATAGCACCCTCGGATGCCATGTTAGGGAGAATGTCAAGTCCCGCAACTGCAGATGTCATACGACGGGTACTGTAGTACCTGGTACACAGTACGGCACACATAACAACTACAAATACGCGCTAAGCGCTCCACCAGCATCTCGAGAGGCCTTTTCAGCGGCCAGGTACTACAGGTACTCACGATGGTGAGCAGCTGGGAAATGGGGCCCACGGGTCGCAGTGCTTGGACGACGGTGAGAGGTCATCCAGACACCGATGTTCTACAAACTGTTCGGTGGAGATCACCACCTGGTATCCCTCCAGTTGCGGCTGGCAGATATCGTTGTCACTCGCGAGCTCAAGGAATACGGGAAGCTGCTGCTGCAATGCTTTTTTAACATTATGCACAGCAGCAACGTCTGAGCCGTTAAAGGCGCCGCACACATTGAGTTGTGTGCCAGAGCAGTCGGTTGGCACGAAGGGTGAGAAGACATAGATGTTGGCGGCCTCCAGTAGAGAGTTCATGAAGTCGGAGATCTTCTGCTGGATAGCGGCGCAGGTGGCCTCATCGAAGCGGTAGGGTCGCACATCATATGCCGGGGGCTGAAGGGTCGCCACGATGCAGAAACTGCAACTCTTCGTGGGGTACGAGTCAGGCGGTGAGCCATTGATGTCTTCGTCGGGTTGGTGTCCACTCGGAAGGCTCGGGGGGAAATTCGGGTAATCACTGTAATAGTCATGGAACTCATGCGCACTCGCGCTGAACCACCTGCCGGACAGTGGAACGCATGTGGAACGCCGACTCGGACGGAAGCAGCAATAATAAGTAAGGGACAGCAGTGCTTGTAGTTGACACGCCCATTGCATAACCAAGTTGTGATTTATAACAAATTATCTTGCATGCTATAGTAGTCTGAATAATTGTCAGTTGTGGCATAGAACCGCGATTGTGCGTGCCAATGTAAAAATAGGACCAAAGGCAAAAACACGCAAATCCTTCAGGTTTATGGCCTGGTAATGAGCGCACATGTTTTTGTTTTTTCGAGGATTAAAAAATCAATGCGATGCATCCAAACAATCTTACCAGCCAATCGCCAGCAGCAGTGCCGTGAAAGCGAAAGCTCCCTTCGAAAAGTAAGCCATGTTGTTATATTTGGACAGATTATACGTTATCTTTTGTTTATCGGTATAGCGCTCTTATGTACGCTAGCGATAGCTGCGGGTGGGCCCTACGCCTACATGAAACGGCGGGCAGGAGTATGTCCAAAAACTGCAGGTGCTGCTTCCCTCGCCGCCCCGAGACGCAATGTCTATTCGAACCAATCAACTCAATTTCATTTGAATTAGATTTTTTTTATAAAATCTGACACAAACCGCATTCTATCGAATGGATGCTCGCCAAATAAATATGTGGTTGCCTAATCTGGCCCAACCACCGTTGTGCTGCGTGTTTGAGTGAGTCGCACCCAGACTTGACACCACGCTCCACTCGCACGTGCGCTCGGATAGAATTAACATCACCTATGTGACGGAATGCACCGGAACATGCGGAAACCTCTCGCCCCAAACGAATCTCATCGCAGTCACGCTGCCAGCAGCAGCTCGTGGCGAGCAGTGCAGCGGCGTGAATACTGGGTTGCACTGCAAGAAAGTTACGGCGAGCTTTCAAATGCTCCACAGTCGTATTTACAAAAAGCGCGGGGCTGATAAGTGCAACTAATTGCGAAGTCGGACTGATGGAGACCTACATCGGATTTTGTTGTCCATCCTTTAAATTGAATTTAATAATTTTGTTCTTAGACCTTAGAGCTCCAGAGACCCAGCCGCTCTTCCGAACGCGCTGCGCTCTAAATGTCAGCCGCCAGGTGGGCGGGCGGGCCGCCTTCGGAGCTATCTAAGCGAGCAGCAAGCCAAACTAAGCTCGTAACTTCGAGCGCTCGGGTCCAACCGATGGTGGCTGCCCACGCTAGTGGTGGCTTATTGGCAACGGCTGCAATAACCCGTCGCATACCGCACAGGCATTTTCCATAGCCTTTTGGAACCCGGCAGGAAGCCGACTTGTGTCTGTTAGCACGTCATATGGAGTGACATATATCTCAGCAAGTTGTGACTAACTGTCTGTTGGGGTGAATTTGATCGATCGCGGTCCGCCTCAAAAGGGCCATCTCACCAAAGCAGTTCGGAATAAATCGCAACTCCCGGATTGGATTGTCGATTGCTAACTTATGCTGATGTAAGGCATCGTGTACAGAAACCGTTATCGACGCCTGTTGGTATCCGCAACCGACTAGGAGGTTGAAGTACGACAAAGAGTCCGGCCTTTGGGTCATTATTTGGTTGGTTAGCACGTAATAAGGCCAGACGTGTGCTGCGCGCAGTTATGATTTTGGTTGGTTGGTTGGAGAGCAATTTCAATCAGCGCCCAACGAACGCAGTCTCGATACCAATGTTACGATCGCGCCTATTTAGGAACCTCTCCACTTGCGAGGTGGAACCGAAAGACCCCGAGTGATGGGTGGTGAGCCGTCTTATCGACCGCTCACCGGCGGAAGTACGGCAAAGCGCATCAGATTAGGCGAAGGCCTTATGGCGAAGGCCAAATTACACCGACGAACGATAACGAATAAGCGAATGAGAGTAATGTAACAGCTCATGCTCGTTACATAAGCCCCTGAATAGTGGGCAACCTAACGGAAGTAACTGCTGTGTCTATTGCCTATTCGGCTGTACGGACAAGTACGGACAAAATCCGGACAAGTTTGCTTTCCTATTAACGGTCACGATTGTTGACATGGAACAAGGAATGAGCGAAGACCCTTGCAACGAACAACCGATACAGTTACCGTTATCGTTACAGTTACCGTTACAGTCAATATGGGTTTCAAACACCAACAAAAAGGGTTTCCAGCACCAATCTCTAAAACACAAACTCGCTCCCGCATCCTCCAACAACACCTGCAGCCGCATAGCGGAGCAGTAGCAGCGGCAGTAGCTTTCAACTCCTACCCTACAACCCCTTTCCCCCGGCCTTTTCCCGCGCCTTGTCAACACGCTTCCCCCCTTCTGCCCCCTCCGCCATCATATTCCCCACCACCAGGTCCATCATGGCTCGCGCCTCTCCCACGCGCTCAGCCGAAACACACATGACGGCACGCAGCGGCCTCAGGTCACCCTTAGCCACCGGACGGCCCTCCAAGGGGAAAGTGAAGCTCCAGGAACAGACCTGCCGGAGGGGAGGAGGGGGGGAGGAGGGGGAGACGAGCGTGTGCATGTGTGTGTGTGTGTGTGTGTGTATGTTTTGCGGTCTAAAGGGCCGGGGGGTTTCAGAGGGGGCGAAGAAGCAAATACACCAGGGGGAAATGCACACAGGGTTTTAGAATGTAGAAAAAAACTAACTGGGGCGCAAAAGGACACGATGCGGGGAGATCAGGGGACGCGAGTTGGGGCTCCCGCGTATTTTGGTAGAACCCCGCCCCGAAACCTGACAAACACACGTACATACATACATACACGCACCTGGTGGAGGTACTCGTCCTCCGGCCTCACATACACAACGAGCTGCTCCTGGTAGGAGGGGAACGGGAGTTGAGGGGGTTTGTGGGGAGTGGGGGGGTTGGGTGGTGGTGAGGCTGTCCGGGGTTTTTCTTGGCTGGGTCTGCCTCCGCAGCAGCACCACCGCCAACACAAACAACAACACCGCCCCCTCCTCCTCGCCACTACCACTCTTACTACCAGTACCCAGACATACAGACATACAGACAGACACGAGATGTCCGTACCTTGCCTGCCGCACCGCCGTTGCCCTTCTTCCCCCGAAAAGAGCTCTTGTTGAGATTGCTGCCTCCGGAACCACCCGCACCACCCGCACTGCCGTTCTCGCCATCCTGCTCGTACGTTTGTGTGTATGTACGGAAAGAGTGGGTGGGGCTTTACGCGATCTTGACTTCACATCAGAAGACGGAGAGAGGGACGAGAACAGTGTATGACAATTTAAACATCATAATTGAAGTTGCAGAAATCCCCATGAAGGGTGTAAGGGGTGTGTGGGTCGGTGGGTCGGCGGGACGGTAGTTATAACCACTAAAACCTAAACCCCCACTCCCCCCCCAACACACGCGCGCGCGGGGGGGTCCGAGGTTGAATCTCGCAGGCTGTAACTAACTAATCAGGCTCCTTAACCACCCCAACTACCATTCCAACTACCACTCCAACGAACGACGTGCAAGGACCACCATCACTGTTGGGAGGAAACACACACACACACACGCACGCGCACACACACGCCACATCCCAGAGATAACCCCCCCCCGAGAGTCCGCCCTTTATCACCCCCCAACCCCTCCTCCTATACCCCCCCCCCCACCTCCTCCGCCTCCCCCCCCTCCAGGGTGTCCGTGTAAACTCGGGTGACGTGCAGGTAGCGGCGGAAGGCGAACTCCTCCCGCTCCTCCTGCATGTATGTATGTATGTGTACCGGAAAGAAAGCGAGGGAACCAGGGTTAAAGATGGGACGTAGGGGGGCAATGGGGTTTGGGCAAAACACACAGGCACGCACGCACACCCCTCTGGTCGGAGAGATTACGGGGACCGGAAATAAAGGAGTGGGAAGAGGGTGAGCCGATGTACGGAGTTTCGCCCCTGTGAACGTGGGTTTGGGTGTTGGACGTGTGTGTGCGTGTGCGCGCGTGTGTGTGTATGACTCACAGGTAGCGCAGTACATTATCCTGTACGTCAACAAGCAGTGCACGAGTCACGAATCTTGTCTTCACAAACAGAACTACGCGACGTCCACCCCCCCCCCCCGGGTGGCACATACCCCCCCACCCCCCACCCCCCACTCGACCCCCCCACCCCCCCACCTACCGCGGGGTAGTCCTCGTCGCGGGCAGCTCCCTCTATTTCCTGATTGGCAGGGCACGAGGGAAATAGGAGGGGCGGTAAGTGCATATGATGGCAAGATACATACATACATACACACATACATACACATCACACACATACATACACACATACATACATACATACACACATACATATACATACATACACACGCACACATGGCTTTCTATCCGGGAAACAACAAACCCTCCTTAAGCCCCTCCGTGCTTTCGTACAACCCCACCCGTATTGCCGCCCGCCCCCCCCAATACCCCTACATCACACTAACCCCACAAGCTAAACCCCCCTCCCCCCTCTCCCGCCACTGCTCTACCCGCTGCTACGTCGTCGTGTGTGTGTATCACAACGTAACTGAAGCTGACGAACTCCTTTTTCTCTCCCCCCTCCCAACCCCCGTCACCCTCCACCCCAACCCCCCAACCCACACACACACGTCCCAACCCCCTCCGCTCGCTCCACATCACAACAAACATCACACCACATGCGGCTGTCCTACAACGCCCTTTCCAACCGCCTTTTCCCGCACAGCCACATCTGACCCCGTATCCCCAACCCCCTCCCACCCCCTCCACTCCCACTTTTCCACCCCCTCACTAACGCCAAACCGATAGAGACAGGCGCCTATGTGGCTGCATCCGTACGCTATCTGTACGAATGTAGGTCCGTAAGAATATTCGTACTGACCTCCATCAGCATTTGCATCAGCGGTGGAGCCAGCTGGGGGGGGCAGTTGATCAGTCGCTCCGAAACCAGAAGTGCCGTACCAGCATCAGAAAAGGCCTGGAGGGTGAGGACGTGTGTGGGCGGGGATATGGGGGACCAAAACGTACGGCAAACTTTCCTTTCCTTTCCTTTCCTTTCCCGGTGACTCAGAGTCCTAGAGTTCCTAGAAACATATCGGGATATATGTTTAGCCGTTAGGCAGGTAGGTAGGTAGGTAGGTAGTTACGTAGGTAGGTAGGTAGGTACGTAGGTAGGTAGGTAGGTAGGTAGGTAGGTAGGTAGGTGGTGATAAGTGGTGGTGTCAGCTACCCCCGGACTGAAGGTACGGCCGCAGTGCCCCCCTTACCCTTGCTGACGTCACTGTACCCGACCGCAAAGGGCCCCCCACCCCCCACCCCTGTGGCAGCGCCGCCGCCAAGACTACTGCTCAAGCACAGCAGTGGTCCGTCATCCAATCGGTCCTGAAATGCTGTCCAGTCCATGTATGTTTGCCCACTCCGGGACTGTATCCGTCTATCTCTCCGGGGGGGTATCAGCGGCTTCGCTCATCAGGAGGTTCGTGTTACCCACTCACGCGCCAGTCACAAATCAGGTGAGGCAAACGACACGACATGAAACGGTCGCAACAGAAAAGGGAACACCCCCGTAACCCACCAGCGAATTGATATCAGACACACGCATACACACCACCTATCCTTTTCCCCCTCCCGCCCCCCCCTCTTATCCTTTCCTGCTATTTCCACAACCGCCAAATTAGCAAACAAACGAACAAATCAACATGCAAATCAACAAACGTAGGACATACATACACACGCATATCGGACATGCACACACAAACGCACGTTCTTGCCTTGTCCAGTTTCCCCCTTGTGGCCTCGTCCGGGCAGTGGTCCCTCAGATAGCTCCGCAGCTGCCCCAGCCAGGAGCTGCCGGCCGCGGGACCACGGCTGGTGTTGAAGGCAGTTAGTACGGCAAACGGGTCATCCTCCTCGGAAGACTTCACTACCGTACCAACAGCCGTCTGCGGGTTTCGGTGCGGAGGGGTAAATTGATTCGGGGGAGGGGGGGGTTCGGGGATGGGGGGAGGAATGAGGGATGTGCGAATGGTGGGTACTACGTGCAAGAGGCCAACTGCCAACTGCCAACTGTCGGCGGAGTCCAAAGCGGTGACGCAACTGCCCGTACTGCAATCCTTAGGGAGCCCCGGGAGGGGGGGGGCCCGGGGATATGGTGGGAGTGGAGGGGGTAAGACTGAGAACCTTCCATCGTGCTTAAATTGCTTAAGAATATGTACGACGCCCACCTGCCGTATTATGGCGTCCACCAATCCGCTGCAATCGTACTGCTGGCCGTCCAAGTACGTGTTGAGCAGCGCTTTGAGCCCTAGGAAGTCCCGTTCTTGGGGGTCAAAGAATTCAAATTGCACGTTGACCTCCTTATAAGCCTCCCCCTCCTCGTCGTCATCCGATTCAGCTTCGCTTGCGGAGGCATCTGGGCAGGAGTCGTCATCGCTGTCGCTGTCATCATCATCGCTGTCGTCTTCGTCCTCGTCCTCGTCGTCATTACTTTCCCCTTCATCGCTGCTATCATCATCCGCTTTGCCATCATCATCCTTGGCGTCGTCACCTTCGTCATCGACAGCGGCTTTCCGCTGCTCCTCCGGCTGCTCCTCTTCCTCAACCTTCTCACGCTTTAGCTGAGCTTCTGCTTTCCGTTTCGGCATAATTGTCTGCTAGCGCTATATTGTCCTGGAAGAAAACGAGTGTTTAGGGTCCTAGCACGGAACGTGGCGGCTGCAAATGAATCAGTTTTTATGATATGAATGTGCAGCGCGTAGAGGATGCTGAAACTTTGGAAGGGAAGTTAGCTAAGCTGTTTTAGCGCGATGTCGTAGTGAGCCCAGCACGACACCGCCGTCGTACCAGCCACTTCTTTGTCCAAAAACGGAACGAAAATACTTCCGAAGCCTCACTCCCTGGTGCTATGGCAAATGGAAAACCCACGCAACGATTCTTGTTTTCTACAAACAAAATGCCCTTAATCTGCCCCAGTTTACTTTATCCTGCTAGTATCATATGTCACACGAGCATTCTAAATGTGCCAACGCGATAATTACATAATTCCAGGCATGTTTCTTTGAAAGAATGATAATTCCTTGACTGACGACTGAAGCTACTTGCAGTAGCTGCCCCAGGACCTGCAGCATGTATCGAGTAGAGCGGCTAGCTTGTCCGGAGTCTATCCCGAACGGCTGGTGTTTAGCAGGTCGTGTCCACCACCTGCCACCATTCCTCGATCGCCATCTGCATTTCCGCATCCCGTCCAGCCACAGCCTCGCCGCAGCTTCGCCATCGCCATCGTCAACATCCACACCACGCTCTGCGGCCGAGCAATCCGCAGCCACGGCCCCATCATCAGCCCCGGCATCAAAGCCACCCACATCAAGTCCATCAAGTATCTCACCAAACCACTCCACCCGTTCACAGCGCCCACCTGCCATCCCAGCCCGATATGTGGCTCGCAGACCTGCCAATCACGACGGCGGAAGGGACCGCACTAAACCCCCACCCTCGCCGCCGCTGTACAGCCGTGACCCCGAAACCACACCTTCACCGCCTCCACAGCAGCAGGACCGGCAGCAGTCCAAGCGGCAGCAACCATCACGGCTACAGCCGCCGCCACACTCAAGACGGCGACAACTAAATTCGCGAGCTCAGCAGCGACCCAGCCCCAGCTCCAATCACACCGGCTCTGATACCAATGACGCTGGCAGTAGCAGTAGTGGTAGTGGTAGTGGTGGTGCTACTGCCAATACGAACGCAAACGAGTATAAGCAGGACTTGCAGGACTTGCAGGAGGAGGAGGAGGAGGAGGAGGAAGAATGGGAGCTTCGTCACATTTTGAACCCGCCGCTGCTGCTACTGCCTCCAGCAGCAGCGCCAGGAGGGGCCCCCCATCGGAGGGCCTCTGCCGGTCCGTCTTCGCCCTCTTCTCCCCCCGCCGCCGCCGTCGAGGGGCAAGTCACTGCCAGTCTCGCTGCTGATGCTGATTTCGGAGCGGCCGCCGCCATGGTGTCGTACGGACCAGGTGGCGGTGGAGGCGCCGCTGCAGCCGTACATTCTTTCCCCTTTCGGGGTATTGGTCCCGGGGGAGACCCCCTCCTGGAGCGATTGATATCCGAGGCGGACTCGTTGCAACACGTGGCACAGCTACTCGTACATCGCGGCCATCTCCACGACCACAACCACCAGAGCTTCAGTTCTGGATCCAGATCCCATCCTGGATTCAGATTGAGTTCCGGATCCGCAAGGAATTCTGGATCTAGTTCCATTTCTGGATCCAGCCGCAGTCCTGAATCCGGCCCCTTGGGTCAGCGGCTGCTGCTGCTCGCTTGTCACCGAATGGCGGTGCTGGCGGAGGAAGAAGGAGCAGCAGAAGAAGAACAACATCGCCAACATGACCAGCAGCAGCAACAGCAGCAGCAACAGCAGCAGCAGCGGGAGCCGCAGCTTCAGCCCAAAGGGGTTCCGGAGCAAGAAGCACAGCTCCTCCAGGAGGTTTCGGAGCCCCAGCCTCAATCTCGGCCAGGGCCTCCTCCTCAGTCCCCGGCCCCCCGGTGGGTTTCGGAGCCGGTAGCTGTGCTAGCTGATGAGGTCCTCCGCTCCGTCCGCGTGAGGGGCGGGTTGCTGGTGAGTGGAGGGCGGGTGTACGGCGAGCTGGTGGAGCTGCTGTGGTTCCGGCTCCGATACCGAGATCCTTGGTTCTGGAGCCAGATGGTGGAGGTGGCGCGGGGTGAGCTGCCCTCCCTGCTGCCGCGCGAGGTGAGGGGTGTGGAGACAGGTAACACGAACCTCCTGATGAGCGAAGCCGCTGATACCCCGGAGAGATAGACGGATACAGTCCAGGAGTGGGCAAATATACATGGACTGCATTTCAGGAATATCTACCGACGTATGCTATGACTTGAATGGGGGTGAGGCTGGGGGTGGGGGTGAGGCTGGGGGTGGGGTTGAGGAGGGGGGGAGGGAGTTAGGGTGGGGCTGGGCGGTGGCGCTTGGTAAGAGCAGCATTGCGATCTAGCTCCCACTCCTGCTGTCCACCGCACCTCACCTTACCAGCTACATCCCATGCCACGCCGGCTCCAACGCAACCTAACATGGCCAGTCAGATCAGGTCGCGCCTTGCCGCCTGTTCCCCCCCCTACCTCACCCCCAGATCGCGATCCTATCAGAAGCGGCAACGGGGACTGTCAGCTGTAGCATTGAGACCGAGGGCAGCAGCAGTAGCCAGTTCGGCGGCAGTAGCAGTAGCAACCGCACGAGCCTCCCTGCCGCCAGGGCCGGGCATGTGGGTGGTGTTTCGGGCCCTATGGATGCTGCCGCTGCTGTACAGCGGTGGTTGGAGGCGGTTGAGGATCGACTGATCGAGTGCGCGGAGAGCATTGGTGAGGGGACGGGGGGAGGGGAAGCGGTCGGCGTGTCGTAAAAAACACAACCAAATTCGACGTGACACCCCCGTCGACCCCCCCAATCAACCGGTTCCTCTGCCTCACCGTTTCCCCCCCGTCATTACCCCCACCCACCCCCCGACCTCCGTCCATTCATCCCCCACTACCCCCCCCCCGCCCCGCTTCCACGGCTCCCCTTCACAGACCCTTCGGATGCCGTACGTCTGCTGGCCTGCCTAGCCGCCCTCCACCGTACACCCACGAGGAGTTGTGTACGACTTCTCGTGGCCGTTGCAGGACAGGGCTTCACGGGTTGGCGCTGGAGGGGCTGTAGCAGCAGCTCTTCATTGCAGCAGCAGCAGTCCGTACAACAGTCGCCTTCCGCAGGTGCGGTACATCCCCCCCAAGCCCTACTACACCCATGCCTTCCCCTCCGCTATACACACATAAACACACGTCCACGTCCCCCGCCGCCTCCTGCAACCCCCCCTCAGGTTCCAATCGGAGTGTGGGAGTGGACGGGGGGCGGGGGGAGGGGCTTTCTGAGCCCCAGCTGCGGACGTTGCTTCTGGTGAGTGAGGTGGGGTGGGGGGGAGAGGGGGGTAGAGGGCGGGAGGACGGGCGCTGCCCTCTGGTTTGGGGGTCCCGCACAATGTGGCGTCATCGGCGTTGGGAGGCGTCTCCAGCGTTCTTGCACACAGCAGCAGAATTTGGATGAGATAAACACCCCTGTCGTACAATTGTACAGCTGCTGTACGAGTGCCGTAGTTCCGCGCCGTCCCCCGTGTCGCGAGTGTCTCGAGGGGTGTAGCACCTGAGGCTCATAACATGCATACATACATACATACTCCCCCCGGCCCCTCTCGTGGTGTCGTTGTAGGCCGTATCAGCTGTGGACGGGGCCTACCCTGGGGAGCCCTGGCTGGCCGACTGGTGTACGGCATACAGAAAACACATCGTGGGGGGGAGAGGGGAGGGTGTGACCCACGGGTCGACGGAGGGGGACGGTTGCGACGAGGAGGCAGCAACAACAGCATCAGTGGCGGAGATTCTGTACTGCCTGGCGACACTGCAGGTGTGTATGTATGTGTGTATGTATGTGTGTGCATCTAGATAGTTGAGCTGTGCTCGTTTTTGTGTTTTTTTTGTGTTTGTGTACGTTGATACCGGAGTGTCACGCATGTGTAATGTCAAAGGCGTGTGAGAGAATCAGGCGACACAACAGGCTTGACGATGATGGTGGGTGCATTACTCCACAAGGTAAACGTCTCGAGCATGACGAATACGGAATGGTAGTAAGGTGATGTAGTGGCCGGGACGGCGACGGAGGGGTTCCGAACCAGTCGGCGACATGTTGACATACACACATACATGCGCACACAACCCCGCCTCCTGGTGTGCGTTCCCTCTCACTCGCTTGGTTAACCTAGTCAGCTGTCCGGGTAACTTAGGTGGGGTTTGCAGTTCCAGCCTCCCTTTCTCCAAGTCTCAACATTTTCGGAATATCCCACTTTCGTGACTTTGAAGCTTTCACTGCGTCGCCTCTTCTTCTTCTTCTTCCTCCTACCCGTCGCTGAAACCCCCCACTCCCGCCGCAAACCCCCAAACCCAAAGTTCGTTCCCCCCGAGGACTGGGAGGCTGCAGCTCTGGCTGCCGTACAGCCCGGTCTGGACCCCTGGCTGGCCCTGGCTGCTGAGCTACAGCCCTCCACCGCGGAATGGGCCCTCGCTCCGGAACCACTGCCGCAGCTACAGCCGCTTCAGCCGCAGGTTGAGGTCGGGCGTGAGGTACCACCTCCTGCCCCCGCCTCCAACCCGGCGCAGCGGCCGGCAGCGTCACCTGCCGTACATGTGGCGCCGCTGCCGCCGCTGACGTTGGTGCAGCTGGCCTGGGCGGTGGGAGCCCTGGCGGCAGCCTGCCCGCTGCCGCCGGCGCCGCCGTACACTGCTGGCAGCGCCGGTCCCGCGGTGACGGCTCGCGCCGCCCGGCGGCAACGGATGCGAGGGCACCGGCGGCGGGTGTTTGGAGCTGCGCTGGCGGCGGTGACGTCATGGGGCTCCGTCGGAAGTGCAAACGCAGCTGTAGCGGCGGCGCTGGCGGCCGTACATAGCACCCCCGATGCCGTCGCCGTCGCTGCCGCTATGCCAGTCCCTGCTAGCGGGCCAGCGGATTGGGCTGTAGATCTGTCTGACGATAAAGAACAACGTGACGAGAATGCGGCAATAACAGGGAAAGCAGCAGCACCAGCAGCAATAGCAGCACCAGCAATAGCAGCACCAGCGGCGGCGGCGCTGGCGGCTGTAGGCAGTGAGGTGGTGGTAGAGCAGCTGCCCAGTGAGGTGGTTGCTTGGGCGGCCTGCGCAAGGGACACGCTGTGGGCCCTACGCGCCGCGGGGCTGGCGGGGACAGTGCCGGAGGGCGGTTTCGGAGCAGCGGCGTCAATCCACTGAGAGGGGGGGAGTGCCGTGATGTGCGGGTGATGGAGCGGTGGGGTGGGGGCTGGGTGGGGTGGGTCGCCTCTGGAGCTGCCTCCGAGCCGGGGGTTTGCGGCTTCCGATGTTTGGATCGGTCTTAGTACGGAACGTTATTTGGCGTGGGTTGGAACGGTACGACAGTGTTCATATGTGTATGTATGTACGTATGTATGTTTGTATGTTTTGGTGACCTGAGCTGCACCGCCGCATGTGTGTGTGTGTGTGTGTGTGTGTCTAGCCAATTGTATTCGACATGTCGGGGTCTGTAAGATGGTGGTGGCGGTGGTGGTGGTGGATGCGTGGGTAGGTGGGCAGTAGGTGGCAGCAGGCCGAATAGGCTCCCGACAGACAGACAGACAGACATCACGACTAGTAATCCTATCGTGGCATCAAAGTCCATTCATTTAATGAACCTAACATACGGCATGCTATACAGTATACATAACCACCATGCATGCATGTACACACAGCAGCAACTGCTCAAGACATTTTAACAAACGAATGTTTAAACAATCCAGCTAGGGGGGTCAGTCACATACACACGGCACGATCGGCGTGTTCCTTCCAACATACATACATACATCCATGCATGTCCATCCATACATACATACATGTAAACACACTTACACGTCAGCACATGCACCAACACAGCAGCCCCCACAGTGTGTGTCGCTCAGCTGCCCAGGCGCGTACTCCTCGCACCTACATCCGCCCACCCACTCCCATGCTGTACAAGGCCGGGCGATGCCGTACATCTAACAGCTGACAAACCACCTTCCCTCCTCCCCCTCCTCGGCCACACACACACACACACGTCACACGATTCCCTCGGGGTCCCAGCAGTACTTGTGTCCGTCCTCCAGCGCCCCCAACGCGGCCATGTGGCTGCCCCCCAGTGCCCAGTCGGCCCCCAGCAGCAGCTCCTCCCGCCACTCGGATATGCGCTCGGGTCGTACACTCTTGGGAATGACCGCACAGCCCTCCTGCGGGGCCGGCGGGGGGGGGGAGTGCGGGAGGAGGGGGAGAATGAGTATATGTGGTAAGAGTACGAACAAGTCGTACAATGCAGTGGGAAAAGGGGACTTATGCATGTTTGCGATCAGCCACTGTGGGGGGCTGGATGAGGAGATGCTGGGGAGGTGGCTGGCTGGGTATCAGAGCTTGGAAGTAGTCTTCCCCCCTCCCCCCTCCCCCTCCCCCCTCTCACTCACCTGCAGTCCCCACCTCAGTAGCACTTGTGCAGGAGTCCGCCCCACCTCCGCCGCCACTTGCTGTACGACAGGGTGACTCAGTAACTCGGAGCTGCCCAGCGAGGTGTACGCTACCACAGCAATACCTGGGGGCGATGTGTGTATGTATGTATGTATGTATGTATGTATGTATGTATGTATGTATGTATGTATGTATGTATGTATGTATGTGTAGGAGCGGTAAGACGAACCACAGGCGATTTAAGCAGATATAGGCCACAGCTAAAATCGTCTGTGTTGTTTTCTAATTCCCAATTTGCGGTTTTACCCGGGTGCTGATTTCCCTTTCCCCGCCCCTCCCCGGCCCCCTACAGCCCCTACGACCGTAACCGTCATGGCAACCACCACCCCCGCTCCAATAACCCCCCGTCCTGTCGTTACGTACATACATACATAAATACACACAGTGGTTTAGCATTTCCAACGAAATCGCACAAATGGATAGCTAGTCAATTAGTTAGTTCGTTAGTTGGGGGCCCCAACTGCGGAGATGGCAAACAAAGGCGGCGCTAACGACGGGCCCCCCTGCCCTTCCCGGCCCCCCCCACCTTCTCGCCCCCCTCCC